CATACAATACACACTTTCTGTGAATGGCTGGTTAAAATGACATCTGTTTATTGCTATTATGTTCGAGACTTCACATAGTTCAAATATAACATCCTCATAAGAAAGGTTTGCATTAAAGTACGCTTAACGCGCGCTCGGGAGGGGGTCAATTTGACCACGGAAGGTTTTTCCGGAATGATATTCGAACGATGTGTCGGGGTCGCGCCAAATTTGCATAATTGTGGACAATTGAATAGCGGAGCATCTGGTACTAAAAATGTAGGTGTACTTTGTAAGGTCACTGACCTACGGCAGGTCAAATTCGGGCCAGCTACGATCAGCTGCGACAATTTCTAGGGAATCGTTCAATCTGATGCGACCACGGAGTATTAGACAAAGCCGTAGATCTCTGTGATGGTTTCGTAGACAACACAACAATGACATTAATCAATTCCGTTGATCTAGGGCCAAGTATGAAGCTCAGACCAAGGTCAAAACTAGCCTGGTTTGCTACACTAGAGCTTGTCGTGCGGGGTAGTTTGTGGTGCTCGTTTTGATTTATTGATAACATAAGCTGCATAATATATTTTCCATGGACTTTTAAATGTCAGAATAGGTCACTGACATAAAACGACCCACGTCAGCATTTTGTTTTTAGGCACCATGCTGCCCAACGTAATCCTTGACGTTTATCCAAATGCAAACATCAAAGCAGTCTAGTATAATTTCGGCCACCAAGGCCTTTTACCTTCTTAGAAAGATCACCCAAGGCCACTGACCTTTTACAAGCACAAGTGACCTTTTACCCAGAACAGGTATTTGGGTTTATGGTGTCATGTCATTGGGGCTTTATGACGCACTCAGCTGCTGAGGCTATATGGCGTCGCCTGCCTCCCACCCTGGCAGGAAGGGCGGACACCGCGGGGAATCGAACCCCGTACCTCTTATTTTATTTTTATGGTAACTATTATAGTATGTTTTGTAATTTTACATTTATTTATTTTTATTTTATTATTATTATTATTTAATATTATCACTATTTATTATTATTATTATTTAATATTATCATTATTTATTATTATTATTTATTTTATTTATCATATTTATTATCATTATTTATTTATTATAGTATTTTTATGGTTTATGGTAGCTGCATGGGAAGGTCTCGGGGTACTTCGGACACCAATCTGGAACTTCATATGGTTTGACCTTAGTTGACCCAAAGAGCATAGCCTGGGAGCCTCAAGTTTTAGCACGAGTGAGTTCACCTACAAAAACGCCCTGTGAATTTAGCGCCTCTAGCTCTCTTGGTTTCTGAGATATCAAGGGGTCAAATTGACCCCCAACCCGGCAAAGGGTATTCAACCGGCGCCAGGGCGCGGGTCAAAATGCTCAGAAAGCTGGGATTGCGGCACATAAACATGATATAATTCTCGGTAAACAGAGACATGAAGATAAACATGCAGCCCTCTCCTTTAATATTTGCTTAGCAAACTGCTCTCACCATTAGCCAACTACTGGTCATGCTAAGGCAGGCTTTCTCGCATGGCGTTCTTTGTCATGACTTATAAAATTTAAAGCTGCAGACGCATACCTCCAACCGTTGCGCGTCACACGTCATACCCGTCCGCCAACACCAACCGGCCAATTATCCTTTATCGGCCTAAACCAGTGCTGGCAGCATATGACCTGAACCATCGGCATCGAGCACCGTTCTGCCGTCACGCGCAGACGCCAGCCGACAGAGCAGCTCCGCGCCCCCGGCTGCCCGTTCCGCCCGCGAGGTCGGACTGGCCGCAGCGGGTACGGCCCGCGGCCGACGAACGGCGTGCTCGTGTGAGGCCGCTTCCCCGCCGGGGGTGGGCGAAGCACGCCGGCGGCCCGTGCCGCCCGCGAGGTCGGACTGGCCGCAGCGGGTACGGCCCGGACGGCGCCGGCCGACCCGCGGCCGACGGGCGGCATGCCCGTGTGAGCCCGCTTCCCCGCCGGGGGTGGGGGAAGCACGCCGGCGGCCCGTGCAGCCCGCGTCTCCGCCGCGCCCGTCGGGCCGGATGTGTTCAGCGTCATACTTGGTCAGCGCTGCCTCCGTCTGTCGGGGGTTTCCCAGCAGACAGGCAGCTCGCCGACGGCCGGTGTCCGTGTCCGGCCTGCACCGACGGCCGGTGTCCGTGTCCGGCCTGCACTGACGGTTCGACCTGACCCGGCCCGGACGCCTGCCGCGGCAGCCACTATCAGCCGTCTTGTTAGGCCTCACCAGCGGGCACCGGCCAGCGATGAGCGAGCGCTGGCTATCAGCTGCATATGCACGACGGAGTGCGCGTAGTTTTGCAGTCGATATCGCGTGTTATAAACAAGAATCCCGTCCAGGCAGGCCGCGACATGGTTAGCAGATCATTCGCAGCGAGCACGGCCGCTCAGCACATGGCAGAGCGTTATTTGAACGGCATTAGTCGCACCAACGTCATTTCGACGGGCTGAGGCTTTGAATATGACCAGACGTACCCGGCTACCGGGGGCGCTTCGGAGCAAAGACCAAGAGGAACGACAACAAGTGATCTTAGGAACGTGTTCTCTGCTGATTTCCGGCAATCACGTAGGGTAACTATCGTCATTGCCACTTCTATGATCACAACGACGTTGACACAGCATACTTTCACTGAAGTTCAGGGTGACAAAAACGAATAAAACCCGGTCGCCGCGTACTGATACGGAGGGACGCCAGCAACTGTTGCGACGCAATAGCTGTCTTAAAACGTGCGCAAGCCCGCATGGCTGTACTGCGGTCAGCGAACCTTGCGGCGCCAGAACTGGAACTGACCTTTGGCCGGGTAAAGCAGTGGTTTCCAACCAACTGCGCGGCAATTGAGAGGAGATCACAGGCATACTAAGAAACGGTTTGAAATAATCATCAATGGTGCCCCCACAAAAATGAAATGAAATGTCCGCAACGGGCCTGACTCAGTACCTGCTGACACTCCCAGGTGGTTCAGGAGCCCCGGAGATGATTGAGAGCGATGAAGAATGATATCAGCCCCGAAGGACCTAGGAGGTCTCTGAGGAACCCAGATGCTCCTAACAAGATCAGGGACCATGAACAGTTGGACCAGTTGGACCGGTCGTAAGGTGGATTCAATATTGCATAAAAGTTCTGCGATCGTCCTTGTGCCCGACAAAGTCGAGGTGCAGAAAAGCCGAGCCACTCGATACAAAAAATGAGACTTGAGCGGTTCGGCGGCACCCGAATGGACCAGAGAAAATGAGACTTGAATGGTTCGGCGGCACACATATGGATCAGAGAAGCACAAATAAGACGTTAACACGGCCGGGAGCCCCTGACTTGCTAGGCGCCCCTTCTGAAAGCACAGTGGTTCGGACAGTTTCACACTAAGGAGTGCGATGGTCCCGAGTGGTTAAGTGCGCTTGAAATGTTTCAAGAGCACCCCAGATTGTGGTCAGTGATCATATTACAGTGATCTTACAAAGCATCAAAGGTCCCAAGGTGTTATTTCTAGTCCAGCGAGACGGGCAAAAGGACATGGAATATTAGACAAGACAATAATGGCTAGGGCACCAGAGTAGACATAAATCCCTGGCAAGGTCAGAGGATTCCCGGGGCTGACCCGGCGTTCCAAGAAAACAGCGAACAGACGAGGCTCTGAAAAGGGTCCACGGGCCTATGGTCAGACGCATGCACTGGGAAGGCTCGGCTCAGATGTACTGGAGGCGACTGCAGGACTGCACATTCATTAACACGCGCCCGGATGGCCGGCTAGATATCCTTCGCTCGGGTGGGGGTCAAGTTGACCCCTCTGAGATCTCGGGAACTAAGATGGCTGGAGGCACCAAACTTGCAAGGTGTGTTGAACTGTACGTGAACTCACTTATGTCAAAGTTTCAGGTTCCTAAGTCATGACCTTCGGGTCAAAAAGTCCAACAAGGTCAAGTTCCAGATTGGTCTCCAAAGTGCCGTCAGAACCTAGATAACCGTTACTAAGCAAAAAGTCACGTGTTCATTTAAGGTCAGTGAACCTGTTTGAACTTTTGAAGGTCGAGGTGACCAAAATAATGCAAGGTTGCATTGGGCTTTGCACTTGACTAAGCGACAAAGATTACGCTAGTCAGTATGCTCCTAAAACAAAATGTTGACATGGGTCATTTTAGGTCAATGACCTATTCTGACCTCTAAGAAGTCTATGGATGATGTATAATGCGGTTCCTGCTATCAATAAATTTGAAATGAGCACTAGAAACCATCCCACACAGCAAGCCCTAGAGTAACAAAACAGGCTGGTTTTGACCTTGGTGTGACTTTCATACCTGACCTTAAGTCAATGTAATATGCTCATTCAACTGTTGTGTTGCCTAAGAAAGCATCTCAGAGATGTATGGTTCCGTCTGACACTCCGCTGTTGGATCAGATTGAAGGATTCCCTACAAATTGCGTTCGCTGAAGCCATCGCCTGAATTTAGCCTGTCATAGGTCAGCGACCTTACAAGGCACATCTAAATTTTATGCCAAACGATCCGCTATTAAACTGTCTACAGCTATGCGAAATTTGGCGCAGCTGCGCCACGCCGTTAGAAAATCATTCTGAAAACCCTTCGGGGGGGATCAATTTGATCCCCCCCCTGAGCTCGTGCTAAGGATTCCGTCAGTCCTGGAAGTCAGGGTATCCGTCATGATGGTCAAAGGGCACTTCAAGAACGCACGCTGTTCAAGCCGCAATGTGACAAAACGTTAGAAAGCCTCCTGGCCATTTCACAGGACGCCCACAGGCTGTTGAAACGTCCCAGACCCTCACATCGGCGCTCCAAGTGAATACCGGAAAACTCGTTCCGATATCATGGGCTACCGAAGCCAGGAGGACGAGACATGATATACGCTACTCGCTTATGATTCACCATAACTTGCTCCAACCGGCCCGGCACAGCACCGGCTCAGCGATTGACAGAACCTACTGACATGGGTCACGATAAGTCGCTCAGACAGAGGTTCTCTGCTACTGGGCACCGTCACTGACCTGGGTCGTGATAGGGCACCAGGATGAAGTTCTCGATGCGGTGCGAGTCGGCCGCCACCACCACCTGCAGCACCTTCTCCACGCCTCGGATCAAGCGGCGCAGGTCGTCGTACATGGAGCCGGTCGAGTCGAACACGACGCCGAGCGAGACGCGGCTGCGGTCGCCCTCGGCCTGCGCCGCCTCGCCCAGGTGGCCCAGCGCCTCGCCCACACTATGCACGCGCAGCACGGCTACCGGCGCGCTGAGCTCGGCGACGGCGGCGGCGCCGGCGGCGCACACAGCCAGCGCGGCGGCCAGCAGCATGTCGAGGCGTGCGGCGCGCGACGCGGCGGCGCGGCCTCTGCGGCGGCGGCCGCGCCGCGCCCGACACCGGCGCGAACGATAAACAAACGGCGGCGACGGACGAGGGTAGCAGGCGGCCGTGTCCCGAGCGCCGGCGATAGGCCGCCGCCGCCGCCGCCGCCGCCGTCGCCCGCGCTGACATCAGCCGGGCGGCGGCGGCGGCGGCACAGAGGGGCGCCGGTGACGCCCGGTGAGCACGTGCCGGCGACCGCCGCGTCGCGCCCACCCGCGGCGAAGGTGTGGGTAGAGCTACGCCTGGATCTGGCTGAGTTACGCCGGTGCCGCTGAAGAAATACAGTACGCGATGAGGTGTACGCCACCGTTTGCTTGCAGGAATTCTTGCCGCTCGGGTCCAAATTGTTTTGCGAGAGGCTTGAGAACACACCAAAGTGGGCGAGCGGCTCCATGGGGTTAATCAAACCGAAGTGAGTGTGTCACCGCCCACCAGGCCCATTCCGCTGCCACATCTCTGTACTGCACGCACAGGGGAGCTCTGCCACGTACTCTGCCATCAAGCGGGGAAGAAGGCGATACGCACTGCAGTGAAATAAGCGGGGAGCTTAATATCCGAACCTTCAAACAACACATCCTCAGCCCTTGGCACTGCCGTTGACAGGTCTGGAAACACCCATATCTTGTGGAATTAATTAGTTATTCCACAACCCACACTTCCATAACCAGGGGAAGGTTACGTGAGATCCAGATCCACCATACGACTGTTCTGTATCGCTGATATCTAGCCTGTAAATGCTGCTTTATAACACTTACCTCGACTGCTTGCAAAACGTTTGGGCTTGAATTCGACTATTTAGCAGTGATCATTGACGCCTTTGCATACCTACGAAAGGCTGTGCTATGAACCGAATATAGTAAAATTGCGCACGTGTTTAGCGCACTTCCAACACAGGACGTGACGCTGGGCTAGCCGGTTAGCCTATAAATATGGTGCGATAATGTTTGATACGATGTCCTATATCAATGTTCGTTGACAGCGGTAGGAAGCTGAAAAGCGGCCACCAAAACATGTTATCTGAACTGCAGCTTACGCCATAAATGAGAAACAGGATTCGTCCTGTCATTTGACAACTGACGCTCAAGGATTAAATATCATAAAACTAGCAAAAGCATGCATGGCATGGATCAGATGTAGTGAGTGGTTTCATTTCTTGATTTTAGTTACTTTCAAACGCAGCGTTTCTGCTCCCGCATTTTTCTCTCTTAGTTCGGTTCGAAGCACGCGATGTATCGCGCAATAGTTCAACAGAATCGTTGTGAGTTATGCAGACATTCAAGACTACTTGAGGACTCACAGAACCGATTCGTTTTCGCTCCATAAAACAAACACAAATTGCATGTCACCAATGGATACACATGCGCAGTTTCTGTGGTACACCCCGCAGGCTCCCTCGCTGGGTTATCCCCCCTGACATCACGGAAAGACACGAGAGTTTGCTGGGTAAATTGGCATCCTAAGAACGGAATGTACCGTTGCACTTCGGGCGCAAAATGACCATTGAAGTCGACGCGCCCTAAAACACCAATGAGCAGCAGCAAAATAGCGTTGCACTTGCACTTTTGGTATGGTCAACATACATTAATCATGTAGTAGTTCTAACGTAGGCAGAGGACTATGCAATTTGACAACTTTCTGCTCATCTTTTGCCTGACGAACAGAACGTTGGATTCGTTCAACGAATCACTACGTCTGAATTAAATGTCTAAAATGTCAAGCAAAGCGATCGAAATGAAAACGCGGCAATGGCCATAGCAAGTTACGTGCTCAAGTAGTAGCATACAATGACTGCATGCTTACACCACTAGCTCAACATCTCGATGAAATGCGCCCTGCCGTTGTAAGTGATCCCGCGACACAAATCAAGGTTTCTCTTCACCCACACAGCAGGGCAGGAATGCAAAACTAAAAAGCAAACGCGGCCATTCCCAGACGCGACGGCATTCATTTTGGTTTTACATCTGAAATAGCTACCAATAATGGCCCGCCTCTGCGAGGCTCATAACAGGACTGGCACGTCCTGATGGCAGCGAGATCACGTGTCCCCGGACGGCGGGTATTTCTGGCGCGAGCCAGCTGCGCCATCTCCTCAGTCAGTGTGCAGGCGCCGGTAAAAAGCCCGAGGTGGTACGTGGCTCAAACGATTCCGACCAAGTGAGCTGAAAGGAGATTACAAACAGATCGACACCGAACTAGAGGAAGTGTTTGTTACCACCGAAGTCGTGTCAGTTAGGGACAGCTTTACTGAAGAACGTTTCCTGTAGTCCGTGGCCTATAGTCAGATATGGTCTCTCGTGCATGGGCATCTAAAAAGTGACATGTAGGAAATGTTTAAAGCTGTGTCACTAATTTGAGCCAGTGAAATTAATTTCTAGCGACGTATATTTCTGACCAAATTGGAAGTCTGCTGGATCCGGCACAACCAGACGCGGTGGCCGTGAGTTGCTCTCAACGGCAATGTGCAAGCGGACGCCGTAATGTCAGCAAGGCCACTGAGACAGTCGTGGGTGTGCAGAGCGGGCAGTGCCCAACTGAAGACACCGGGTAGCGGCCAAACATCAGCAAGAGCACTCGCTACACGCCCATGACTGAGGTGGCTGTTGAGGCCGGTGGGAGCGACCGCGCCAAAAGCCAACTGACGTCAGAGGGCGGGACGGACCGTGCCGAGCTCTACATGCTAAACTTTCATCACTGAAGTCTGCCGTTAACCTGGAATTTCGCGATCGAATGGTACAGATCAGGGCTCACGCGACAAATACTGCTTAGTGAGAGCTCTGATCCCATGAATTCATTCATTCAAAGATTCGACCTGAATCTTAAAAATGTATTATAAAAAGTAGACACGAGCCTGCGGACATATCGCGTTCGCCATGGGTATAACCACCAGTGGGCTTGTGGGGTCCGGACCGCACACATCAGAACAAAATTGGACATGAGCAGCGTTTAAAGCGGGATTCCATCAATTTCCGTAAGGTCAAACACGATCGGCGATGTCATCCTGCAAGGGGCCACCACTGGCCACACGGTGACGGTCTGATCCCGTGACAGTGTGCCGGACAGTCCACCATGGACGACAGGGAGATTGTTGACCATTCGCCTCGCAGTGGCCATCACTGACCGGACACGGTTGACCATCACTGCGCGGGCACTGACAATCCGCCGGACAGTGGCCATCACTGACCGGACACGGTTGACCGTCACTGCGTGGGCACTGACAGTCCGCCGGACAGTGGCCATCACTGAATGGAGACGGCTGACCATCATTGCGTGGCACTGACAGTCCGCCGGACAGTGGCCATCACTGACCGGGCACGGTTGACCGTCACTGCGCGGGCACTGACAGTCCGCCGGACAGTAGCCATCACTGACCGGACACGGTTGACCGTCACTGCGCGGCACTGACGGTCCGCCGGACAGTAGCCATCGCTGACCGGACACGGTTGACCGTCACTGCGCGGCACTGACAGTCCGCCGGACAGTGGCCATCACTGACCGGACACGGTTGACCGGTCACTGCGCGGGCACTGACAGTCCGCCGGACAGTGGCCATCACTATCACGCACGACGGCGTGATCATGTGAGTCGAGCGGGGCGGGGGCGCAGCCCACACACGGCTGGCATTTGGGTGTGCCGGACAAGGACCACCCCGACCATGCCCTACTCCGGGCGGCACGCGCCGTCACCACCCCACCGTGGCGGGGGCGCAGCCCACACACGGCTGGCATTTGAGTGTGCCGGACAAGGACCACCCCGACCAGGCCCTACTCCGGGCGGCACGCGCCGTCACCACCCCACCGTGGCGGGGGCGCAGCCCACACACGGCTGGCATTTGAGTGTGCCGGACAAGGACCACCCCCGACCAGGCCCTACTCCGGGCGGCACGCGCCGTCACCACCCCACCGTGGCGGGGGCGCAGCCCACCCACGGCTGGAATGAGTGTGCCGGACAGGGACCACCCCCGACCAGGCCCTACCCCGAGCGGCACGCGCCGTCACCATCGGACCGGAAGTGTCTGGCGCCGGCCAGAGGGCGCTCCTCGCGTTTTTATCGCCGCAGGCTCTCGGACCTCGCAGTCAAGGTCAGGTGGTTCTGTTTATTTGCGCTGGGCACCGGATGAAGACCGTCCTCTCGGAGGAAACGCTGCTCTTTCGGCAACGCCGATGGGCGGCTGCAGAGCACGCGGACGTCATGAATGACGTCCGTCCCGGTGGCTCACTTGGTTAGAGCGCCTGTTTTCCGATTCACCCACCCGTGGCCGGGTGGGTCCGAGTCGCTTTAGGGCGCTCGCTATTTGCCCTTGACAGCTATGGCCGGTGGCAGCGGCCGCGGTAAAGGTCAGTTGACGCCAGAGGGCAGGACGGACTGTGCCGACCATTGCGGCACGTTAAGCTTTCGCCACTACACTTTGCCGTTGTCTGGAATTGCGCGACCGGATGGTAGGGGTCAGGGCTCACACGACAAACACTGCTTAGCGTGAGCGCTGTTCCCTGAAATCTATCCATTCAAAGCGTTCGGATCAAATTTATGAACATCACAAAAAGTGACAAAACTGCTGCCTAATAGTTGCCTGGGCCTGGAGACCGGCAATGCTTAACATCACGAATGGGAGGGGAGCATCACGGTCCTCGTCGCAGTCCGACTTCTGCGGACAGCCACCAGCATCAGGAGGAACTTGGCCCGGCTGTCCACTGGCACTGATTATCAAAAGACAACGAAGTGCGAACTGGGTGTCATTGTGTTATGCCAATGTGACAGTGCCGTTTGGGAGGCATCGATGAATGCGAGCGCGTTCCACTTGTCTGATAAATGGTCTTTGGGTCCCGACGGATTCTTCGCTCGCACGCATCCTTCCGTTTCGTCTTCACCTACAGGTATTTGCCTTGGTCGTCATCACCTCATGTCAGTCGCCCCAACCTCAGTCATTCACTTTGTCGGCGCAGTTCAGAACACGGTGACATCAAACATCCACGTGCATGGGATCGTCCCGATCACTCATCACTCCAACATAGTCGAACCAGAGACAGCCGTATTCCCGGTCCCGCTTGTTCTGCAAGGATCTGGCATCAACCCCAGTAATGCATGAACAGATCCTTCACCGCCAGCGATCCCTCCAGTGGTCTCCAGTATCCTCAATTGCATAACCACCATGCGTTGCGACTCGCGGTCGTATGTCACCTTTAGCAGCCGCACAGAACGTGGCTTCTACTCTACTGAACAGCTGTTTTTGGGTACGGGTGCGTCACTGGGCAGCTATTTGCTCACCACGGCAGTGCATCGGAATGCGACAAAGAAAACACAGAGTCCATCGAACTTGCAGATTTCTGCCAGGCGAGCGAAACCCAATGCGTGCAGGGCTTGCAGGTCGGCTTCAGCCTGGCTATTCCGCGCCGCATACTGGGGAGCGGGTGTATACAGAGCACGGACGCGATAACCGGCCGGACACGCGATATACACCGACCCAGACATCTGGGTCAGCGTTCCTCGGTCGGATTGCCGTCAAGGGCGCGCCCCGCTCTCCACCAACACGCGCGCTGCACGCGCCCAGCCATTTATTAAGTCACAAAACAACCGCGGCGAGCTGACGACCGCCGCCAACGGGCCGGCACACAACAGCCGATGCCGGCGGAAAACTACGCCGTCGCTAGAGCCCGGCACGACGACACTCTCCCGCTACGGCGCGGGAGAAGAAGCACACAAGACACGGTCACGGCCTAAGACCCCGCGCGGGGGCGGGGCGGGCGCCACTACGGCGGCGAATGCGGCGGAGGCGACGGCTTGGCTGGCGGGCCGGTAGGCAGCGACGCCGGCAGCGTGGAGTTGGCCAGGTGCTCCTGGAGGGCCTTCTCGGAGAGCGGGTCCTCCGAGGTCCACTCCAGCTGCGCCACCTGGCCCGTGTCCATGTCAGGCGCGTGCATCTGCATCATCTTGAAGTGCTTCAGGATGTCCGCTATCGGTGGGAATACAATGCCAGTTATGCGAGAGGGAATCAGGCCAGTTGGAGGGAGTGAGACATGCCACGAACGTTCACTGTCTCAGAGGAAGCTGCACGGGGTCTGGTGGCAACGTATACACGGCTAATTTGATTGTACGCCTATGTGCGAATAGCTTTCGCGTGATGAACACTTACATTGCATTTTCTATAACTTCTGTACAGACTGTGCGTCGATTTGACTGGATACGTACACAAACTCACGGCAAACTCAGCATTTCTTCTAGATAATTGTGAGAACAATTAGCTTAATCACATTTTGTCGCCATTGATTTCTAGAAAACGACCACTGAAATGCTTATTTCCAACGCTAATGACTTTGTTGAGGAGTAATGAAAACAACACGTGAAAGCGACACTTAACACTGCTTTAAGAAAATATATGCAACCCGATGTTTTTTTAAATGGGTTTGAAATTGGCATGCCCAATGTTTTTTTTAAATGGGTTTGAAATTGGCATGCCCACCATAAGAGCATAGTTCCCCCAAAATAATACCGCCACGCGGTAAAGCGTTCCGTTAAGAAATAAACGTCTGCCGACCAAGTTTTCATGGTACTAATGATCCTCACAAACGACACAAACACGACCGAAAGCTGTCCAAATATACATGCTGATCTAAGACAGTCACCGAAGCACACTTCTTAACTACAAATGACCACTACTATGAGGCTGAAGTCCACGTCTACCACACAAGGGCACAATGACACTTTATCTGCCCCAACGCCCACCCAACGAAGAAACAATGCTTGAGAGTGTTCCGCTATCACTGTCTCACGTTGTTGTTTCTTGCGTTGTTTACGCCAATTGGAGCTACAGCGACCACACGACTAAAACCATTGCAGGCATACTAAGACGTGAACGTTGGATTTGTGACATTGGATTCGGTGTGGGATATTCGTAGCGGTCGGCCGTGCCTCGGAGAGCTCCCGATCCGGTTTCCTTACACTTTTGGCCGGCCAGTGGTTGGCCAGTCCCCAACGATTTTGCACCACTGATACACATGGCAAACATCAACACATCAATTTTTCACTTCTAGAATAGGATTTGAGTAGCTTGTACGCCAGACCGACTTAGAAACACCTACATTCATCTGGGATACCGGTGCTCCGTTTAAAACATTCTTGGGATGCTGTTGGCGCGATCCCCGCCCGCCCAGCGGCAAGTAGCAGGAAAACAAACGGGCCGTAAAACAGCGGCGCGATCGTCGCTGCCCAGTGAACATGAATCCATCTAGACAGAAACACCGACGGAAACGACGGAAAGATCGACGAAAACGTCGGAAGGCGGGAAGGTGGTGAATGAGAATCCAGGTGGTGAATCGTCGGGGGGTGAGTTGGGGAATACTGGGAGCACACAGGAAGAAGGCACCAAGCATGCAAGTGCTGCTCCGGGAATGTTTGGGTCTTTGAACCTGTCGGGAGAGATCTTGGCTTCTCCCCTCATTCTCAAGTTACCCCACTGGAGCCAACTCAGTTCCACAGTGCGGCTGGAAGGCCAAAAGAGGTAGGAAAACTAGGTGCAAGCGCATATAGACTGTGGGGTAGTGCTGCTGGTAGTGACTGCTTGTTGCAGAGGAGGCCCAGGGTTTCTGCTTCGTGGTAACCCAGTGAGAGATGGAGAAAATGGGGTCCATTGTGACAAGTGTACAAATTGGTTCGATGCATCTTGTCAGACAGTGGCAATAGATGTTTACAAGGCCCTAAAGAAGTTCCCAATTTTGTCTTGGCTGTGTGCAGAGTGTAAGATATCCCTCGTCAAGCAGCCCAGAGCGGACCGTCAGTATGACCAGATCTCACAGCAGAATGAAAGGATCACTCAACTGGAAAGCAGTCAGTGGCTTAGGCATATCTCTCAGGGAGCACACGAGACAGGTTTAGAGATCCATGAAGGAACAGGTTGAGGCTGTGATTAGACAGACAGCGATTACTGAGCGCTCCTTTACCGAGCAGGAGAGACTGAAGAGTACTCATGCAGACATTGTGCGAGGTTCATGTGACCCGGTAGTGCGGCGAGATTGTGCAAAAAAGTGGAGTCTGTTCCTCTGCAGCCAGCTGTTAGTATTGGGTCCAGAGTTGCCCAGGAAACCTCAGGAATGTTTGATAACTACATTGATCAGAAAAAAAGAAAATGCAATGTAGTTATCCATAATCTACCAGAAGAGGCAGGTAGAGTCCCTTAATGACAGAACCCAACAAGATATGGCCAAGTTTTCTGAGATTGTGAGATTAAAGCTGAATGCCCGCGGAGTCAGAGCCTTCCGGTCTGGAAAGAAGCTTCCAGGTAAGCAAAGACTGATGATAGCGACACTTGAAAACACAGAGACCAGAGCTGAGCTCCTGAAGCTTGCCCCGCACCTGCGGCATAGTAGCAACTGGAGTAAGTTAGTCAGTTCCCAGGACAAAGGCCGCAAAGTGAGAGAAGAGGATAAGAAAATGAGGGATCAATTCTTCAGGAGAAGGCAGGCAGGTGAGCTCAACCTGCCGATCAGGCAGGGCAAGATCATCAAGCAGAGTGCTCCATTGCCGCCAGTGGCTGATGGACACAGAGGTACCAGAGTGGTTCACCCTGCTGTACCAGCGGCAGCTCCAGCTAGCCTGCAAAGTGATGAACCATCAACAACTCCAGCAGCCCGCCCGGCTGGTGGTCCCAGAGGCACCAGCATGGCTCTTCTCCAGAGACATCACTTGCCCCTGGACCAACTACAGCAAGCCCAAGTGAGAACTCCAGAGGCATTCAAGCAGGATGCCCCTTTATTGCACCCTGCTTGTAGGGGTATTGCCACCTCACTCAGGGTCCTAGGGGTTCTAGGTGCCCCGACAGGACTGATAGGACAACAGCAACTTCAGTCCCTCAGGATGCACCCATGGATCAACATACTCAGGCTCAGGTTGATGCTGGTTCTCCAGGTCCACGATGACTACATAATGCTCCTCAGTGCAGGGGAGGCAAGATCTGACGGTATTGTACACCATTGCAGACCAGTTCCTTAGAAAAAGGGATGATTTATGTATGCTTATTTCTGACAGCAAGCTAGATATCATGCAGTTGACCGAGACCCTCCCCAAGGCCCAGAAGCTTCCTACTGCACCATCTCTCTTGTCGATTTCCGGGTACGCCCTATACACAAAATTTAATCTATCTTTGCCCAACCTCGGATCTACTGGTAGGAAAGGCATATGTGTCTATGTGTCCAACCTGTTAAATGCCGCTGAACACTCGCTTGGGCCAAGTCCTCTGGAGCAATGTGGCTGAAGATGGCCTTGAGTGGGAAGAACGCCCTGATACTTGGCTGCATACACAAAAGTCCACCAGGCAACATCCGAGACAGTGTGGGTCAACTGGAAGACCTCATTCAGAGAGCATGCAGTGCTCAGTTTTCCCACTTGATGGTTGTAGGCGACTTTAACTTGCTTCAGATTGACTGGGCAACAGAGCGATCATCAGCTCCAGAGAGTCACCCGACCCACTCACTGATAGAAACCATCCAAGACTGTTTTTTGTTCCAGCATGTCCAGCAGCTAACACGCTACCGGGTTCGTGAACCTCCCAGCGTTCTGGACCTCAGTTTTACAAACAAGGAAGGCACGTTGAGCCAAATCGAATACCTGCCTGGGCTAGGTAACAGTGACCATGTGGTCATCAGGTACACTTTGGTCTGCTACTCTGGCCTAAAAACTCCTAGCCCCAGCCAGGTGACACACACAAATTACGGTTATCTGGCTGACACCCTCAGGTCAAGGGACTGGTCCATGATGGAGAACCTCAGCCCCGAAGATGCTTACAAGTTCTTCAAGGAGAGAATCACCGGGACTACTGAGGTTTACTCGATCAAGAGAAGGCCTAAACCTTAAAATAAATTGTGCGTGAACCCAAGGGTCATGCAGCTAAATAAGACTACGGAAAAATTATGGCGCACACACACACGCGGACTCAGGAAGTTCTGGACCACGCCAGGTTTGTGCAGTGTCGTAATGACCTTCGGAAGTTGACCATAAACCTTCAGAAAGAGTATGACATGAAATTAGTAGCGGACCTCAAAAGAAACCCCAAGGCCTTCTGGAGGTACAGCTACAATACTACGCACAAGATGCAGGGTAGAAGACCTTCTTGACGATGCTGGAGTGTTAACCAGCAGTAAAGAAAGGAAGGCCGATGTCCTCTGTAACTTCTTCGCCAGTGTTTTCGGGGACGAAGGGACTAGTGCCATGTCTGCATTGCCGCGCAACTTTACTGGACCATTTCCGGATGACTCTACCCACGCAGCGGCAAAGAAATTGGCTGCTCTGAAGACCTCGAGCGCCCCTGGGCCACATGATGTCCACTCGAGGCTTCTTCGCGAGTCCGCGGATGTCCTGGCGGTACCCATCAGCATGCTCTTCCAATAAATCTTTGGCATCCGGAAGGCCCTCCCAGGAGTGGAAGCTTGGCGAGGTAATCCCGATCTTTAAGAAAGGCAACCGACAGTCCCCAGCGAGCTACCGCCCAGTGAGCCTTACTGCCAATCCCTCCAAGATGCTTGAAACTTTCGTCCGTAATGCCCTACTCAATCACTTCCCGGAGTCTAGACTTCTTCAGGCAGCCCAGCATGGGTTTCTCCCAAAGGGGTTCGGTATCACCTAGCTATGAGAGGTCACGGAAGATTAGAGCGCTACGGTAGAGGATAAAGAGCCGGTGGACGTGACGTACCTGGACTTCAGCAAGGCCTTTGATTCTGTGCCTCATAATCACCTGCTCTCTAAGCTTCATGCTTACGGTGCGAGAAGTAATTTGCTACGCTGGATCAGGGCTTTCATTACCCACCAGACGCAGAGTGCGGGTCCAGGGGTCGAAGTCGGACTGGACCGACGTCGTCAGCGGCATCCCGCAAGGATCAGAGCTTAGACCAACGCTGTTCATAATCTTCGTGGACGTTCTTCCAGAACAAGCGCGGAGCGCGGTCAAGATATTCGCGGATGACACCTAGATCTTCTGTCGCGTCCCGAGGCCCCTGGCTAACTCACCTCTACAGGTTGACCTCGACGCTCTGGCCAAGTGACCAAAGGAGTGGCTGCTCCCCTTTAGTGCAGCAAAGTGCAAAATAATGCGTATCGGGAACTGCAACCCGAGGCTGACCTACTTCTTGGACGGCGCCGAAATCCCGGTCGAGTTCACCGAGAAGGACTTCGAGATCTGCGTGGATTACAGGTTCAAGTTCCACGTGCCGACAGCGGGAGCGATCTCCAGGGCCGACCAGATGCTGGCCATCTTTTGTCAACATCGATGCTCGCACGTTGTCATTGCTTTTTAAGATCTTAGTACGTCCGTGCATAGAGCATGGCAACGTCATCTGCGGCTCGTTCGCAAACTGGACCAGAAGCGGCTGGAGCGGGTTCAGCGACGAGCTACCTGGCTTGTCTATGAAGTGAGGCGCCAGCCATACCGTGAGAGGCTCAGACTCCTCCAGTTGCTCTCACTGTACTACCGTCGTCGCGGGGAGGGGGGGGGGGGGGCATGGTAACAGTGTACCAGCTGCTTCACGGAGGTATGACGCTGTCGGAAGAGGAGTTCCTGACAAGGCACAACTCGGAGGTAACAAGACGACACCAATGATGAAAGCTCAGAAAAACTCGGGCTAAGACTCTCGTCCGTCGTAACTCGTTCAGCACGCGGATCGTCAACGATTGGAGCGCTCTTCCACACCCGGTCGTGTCGTCAACCTCAGTTGAACAGTTCAAGTCTAGGCTTGATATGCACTGGGCTGACATCATGCATGACATCCCACACTGGATCGACTCATAATCTGAGGCTGTTTGGTTACCGAACCGGGAGCCTGACGAGGCCGGGACCTACAGGCCTGGTGACCATTTATAATTCCGATCACCATAAGGTAAGGTAAGATAAGGTAAGGTAAGGTGAGGTAAGGTAAGGTAAGGTAAACAGAACATCCAATGATGCAGACGTCCTCTGATGTCGGAAAGCCTCGTGGCGCTGCAATGTGTGACACGGTGGAGCCCCAACCGCCGCCACTCCTACCACAGCAGTCAGGCGCTAACTTATCACCCCATCCTGCAACGGGACCCACATCTCTCCCGATCCTACAGCGGGCCTAACGGTCAACAACTCCTACAGCTGGACCCACGTCTCCTCCGATCCTGCAGAGGGACCCACCTGTGACCTGCTCGTCCAGCTTGAGCCGTCGGGCGATGGTGGCGGCCGTGTGGGTGGCCGGATCCTGCGCGTGCGCCGCGAGGAAGCCGATGGCGGCGCGCAGGGTGATGCGGCCGTACGGCACTCGCTCCGGCTCCGTGTAACCGAAGGTGGGCAGCTCGGGCGGCGTGCGGTCCAGCGGCAGGTTAGCGCGCCGCTCCGGTCCCGTCCGATCTATCAGCTGGCAGCGGAGGGGATGGTCATGGGTCAGTGGAGAGGATATTCAGAGGTCAGCGGAGGGGATGGTCGGGGTCAAAGGAGGGGATGGTCAGGGGTCAGAGGAGGGGATAGTCAGGAATCAGCAGAGGGCATGGCCGGGGGTCAAAGGAGGGGGTGGTCAGGGGTGGGCGGAGGGGATGGTCAGGGGTCAGTGGAGGAGAAGGTCAGGGGTCAGCAGAGGGGAAGGTCAGGGGTCAGCAGAGGGGAAGGTCAGGGGTCAGCAGAGGGGAAGGTCAGGGGTCAGCAGAGGGGAAGGTCAGGGGTCAGCAGATGGAATGGTCAGGGGTCAGCAGAGGGGGAGGTCAGGGGTCAGCAGAGGGAATGGTCAGGGGCTGTCAGCCAGGCAGGTCAGGACCCATTGTTGAATACGAAAGGTTGGCGTCAGCTGCGTTGAGAGAGTCTCTGATTGGCCAAAGCTTGCGGTCCTTTCTCGGAGCTTGCTTAGGCTCATCCACACCAGAGGAATCATTCAGCCGGGACATGATAGCATCGGATATGCAGTCAGTCTTCCAATAAGTCGGAGCATGGGTAGAGGGCACCCTGATACATGACACCAGACCACGTACATACTTCTCTGTCGTCTCCTCATGCATACCCTTTCGCATCGGAGGAAAATCAGCTGTGAGAAATGGCTCCGGTACTAACCTTGGCATAACACGATATTTGGAAAACTGAATAAAAACGTTCACCTAAAGGCATCTGCTTTCCTCTCTACCTCTCCTCCATTGGCTTATAAGAGGTCTGATAAAATTTGTTCTAGTCCCATCATGATGCATCTTTTGAGGTAATAGCTTTCCGAACATTTAATTTTGTGATATCCTCTACCATTCCACAGACTCGGTTCCAAAACACATGACAAACTATTTGCAAAATGATAAAAAAACCTTCCAGAGCACCTAAGTTTGCGATATCTGCCACCATTTTACCAGTTCAGTTCCAAAGCATATATGACAAACTATTTTTAAAAAATCAATTCAAATCCCCAAAAGCTGGCCTGTCATCGACATGCATGCAATACTGATACATACGGACGGGTCTTTGGACGTGACATAGACGTTCTCTAAACGCTTCAACAGATCTGGATCCTTTTTCTCAAGCTGGGCAGAAAGTTCGGGAAGCTCTGAAATGCACAAATAAACTTATAGCTGGTCACCACACCACACATATTAACAGTCTTGCATAGCAAACATATCTATACACTGCATATTATGGCAGCTGTGATGTCATGCCATTATGCAAATAGCAAAACAACATTGCATGGAAAAAATACAAGTGGTTGAACATGCAGCCCTGAGGTCTCGCATGGGTTAAAACAGTCAAAGAAGTGTATACCAACAAACACATAAACTCGGCACCGCAATACCCCCAAATAGATGACATGACACTGGAACCAATGATCACCAATGTGATCAACCAGACCAACCAGTGATCAACCAACCAGATCAACCAGATCAACCAGTGATCACCAATGTCAAGCACTTTCATTTTCCACACAATAATATCACAGGTGATCGTGACGCCCTCCATAAAAGTGATTATCCTTAGTACACGCTCCGCCATACCTTGTCGGACTTTCTCCAGATATTCTTCATTTGACTTGTATTTTGGCGGCGGTCTGATCTTGTCCTGTGAGAGCACTTTTTGAGCTCGGTTTTCAACATTTAAATTTCTTGACACTCTCCATGCAATATGGGAGTATACCTTACCCATGTTTAACCTGTGTAGCAAAGAGCTGTGGTGATAACAGCTGTTGGTGCAAACAAATTACTCTGCTGACAAGCACATGATCAGGATGTGGCAGATCACTGACTTCACCACTAGTGAGGAGGGATGGTGGATTCGTCACACTTCAGGAACATCTGCCGCCGCCCAACAGAAGACATCTGTCGCTACCAAACAAACGTGCTTGACTAGACAGTGCTCAAGACCCAAACCAGCAGTTTTTCTACCAGCCACCTCGACCAGCAAAACATTCAAATCCCCCTCCCCCTCCCTCAAGGTTGACACATCCTGGTTAGCGCAACGATGCCGGTCCTTTGCATGGAGAAAATAAAAACATTCCCATGGCCACTACTGGGATGGACGGCCCGCCATGGGGTGTACCAGGTGAGCAATGGGATAACCATTTGCTTGCTGTTTAGTGAGCAAGGGAGTAAGCATATCTTTCTGCGTCATGTGTTTCTGAAAAAGTGAGACAATTCTGGGGGAAATTGTTAGATAAAAGTTGGGATACGACTTGGAGGCCCCTAGATCTGCTTGCCTCTTGGATAAAGCCAGTCACACCGCACCTGTCCATCGCATGAGGATGGCACCCGTAGATAATCCCTCGCTAAAATCTCCAACAGTTTGCAGTTTGGACTGAGCCTGGCTTGGAAGATGATGGAAAACCAAAAGTAATTCTGGTGCTATACAACTACAAGATCCAAAGTTGCCAATCTTCAACTAGCGACGGCTTCGTGACTGGACAGATGACCAAAAGCCACTGTTCTGAATGAGTACTTTAACAGTGTCTTCCTGGTCGAAAACACCAGCGTCCCCCTGCAAAAATCAACACCTACCCCGCCCCTCCTCTCTAGGCTGTGGGTATATTGGGACCAGTGATGGAGCAAAGCTCAGCAATGCCAAGCTTTTCAGCCAACTCGGACCCGACCAGTTCTGTCGGGACATCCCCAACTGCACAGTTTCAGAAATCTATTAACTTGGAAAGCCTAGCCACTGAGAACAATCACTTTACCCTGATCTTCTGTTGCACGCTGACCAACTGCACAACACACCAGCATGGTGTACAGCCCAAAGATCATGTGCCAATTAATTCTTTGTGATGATATGTGAAATCTCCTGGATGCCAACCTGATATCACAGCAGAGGGCGACACAACCGACTTGTTCCAAGCGGCAAGCAAATCTAGGTGCCTCCTAGTCCTATTCCAACATTCATCTAACAATTTTGAAGGCTACAGTGAAACAACTGAAGCCAGAAGTCCAGGCAATGCTGCACACCCCAATACTTGTAAAGGCTTCAACCAGGCCTGGTACATCATACCCCTGAGCACGATCAAGTTACAAGGGATCAGAGGCCCACTTTTGCAATGGACCAATGCTACCTGAACTGGCAGGCAGCAGAGAGTAATTTGTTAATGGGGTCAAGTTGAACTGAGTGCCAGTCAGCAACATCACTGATGGTGTTCTGCTGGACTCAGTTTTGGGCTCCTGTTCATATTTGTCAATGATCTAGTGAAGTCATACAGTGCCCCATCCAGCGCTTTGTAAAGAACAGTAAGATTTACTGCCCAGTTACACTCCCAAATGACTCAGCACTGTTGCAGTAAGACCTTGATGTAATGGCAGCCTGGTCTGTCATCTGACTGCTTTTCAATGAAGGCAAGCCCAAGGAACTACACTTTGACCAGGCAAACCAGATGGTGTTCTACAGCATGATGGGGGTTTGACTGAAGAATGTATCTGAGGAAAACCAGTTAGAGCTGCCTGTGTCTGTGGACCTGAATTTCTGCAAGCACACAGCACAGCACATCCAATGTCACTCATATTCTGATGATTATTTGTTGGTCTTTCAAGCCCCTTGATCTGATGACCATTTCTCTCCTGTTTAAGACCCTAATGCATTCAAACTGAAGCATGTCAACATCTGTTTTTTTGCCATTCAACCTTGCTAACCAGAAGTTGATAAGAAGCACTCAAGAAGTGACCTGGATTAAGACAGGTTCTTCTCAAAGCTGCAATAACTTCCATGATGAGCAACACTTTCTTCCAGTCAGGAGTAAAGCCCTCAGTGTGAGAATGCTCAGTGACTGAAGTGCTCTTTCCCACAGAGTGGTTACATCTGAAGCACTACACAAGCTCAAATCCAGACAAGACTCATGCAAAGTACACCTAACATACAATATTCCGGACCAGGATTGATATTGTTGAATTAGTCATGGGCTCAATAGGAGGGGCCTATCAGGCTAAGTTCACTTTTGAATCTGAACATAGGTGAGGTAAGGTAGGACAAGCCAACATGTAAATCAATGGACATGCCTCAATACATTCAGAGGTACACCTTACATAACATTAAGCAGTATGGGATAAACATTGTTTGTCACACAATCCTGATGAGAGTAGGAGCAATGGCATCTTGGCATTGGTATCTTGGCAATTCAGACAATCCAAACAGTATACGACAAAACTAGGATGGTTGAGTACCCTATTTACACAAACTGACTAAAAATAGCAAGGTGACTTAAGGATAACCTTTTGGTTCCGCAAGCCTCACAACACACTGAAATTAACACCGAAATAGGCAGTCAGGCACAATACACATCAAACGGATGGCTACTAAACCAAGGAGCGGCATGGTACCCCCCTCCACACACCCCTTGCACACCGTACTCGCCTACACACCTAAAGCAAATGCTTTGCTTGCACGACTTCCTTTGCCGTCCAATCAGCTGATCTGTGGTTTCGTCTCTTCTGCGCCACCCGACCGGCTCTTGCCCTATATGTTAGAATCGTAAGAAGGCAGGGAGATCTGAGCAGCTGATTTTTTGTTGACACCATTATGATTAGTAAAAAATAAGCCAAGGCAAGAAATTTCTTAAAAATCTTAAATTTTTGAGTTTTTCAAAAAAAAGTAGTGTTTATAGCATATTCAGACATGATCAGCCCTTGAAAGCTTTGGCCAGGCATATAAAATAAGCCTATTTTAATTAATTTATCTAAGAAGTACTGACAGCATAACCCTGTAAGAGTTATATAACTTGGAAAAATATTACTCGCGACATACATATTGAAGCCCGCTTGCAATTTGTAATTGTAGTGCAATGCAATATAAAATCAGCTGACTGTTCTCGAAACATTCGGCTTTCCTTGCCATGGCGCCCCAATCACGCGAGCGCTGCGGGTGGCGAGTGGGAGTGGGTCTGCGCCGTGGTGCTTGGGGCGCGGGTGGCGGATTTTTCGCTTGCGCACGTCAGGATTTGAGTTAACAGGTATAAAGCGGCTTTGAAAATGTTACTACTTGCCATTTTTCCATATAGAAAAATCCCGGTTCCGTGGTGTCCGAGACCTTTGAATTCTGCCACTGTGAATTGCCATTTGTTTGGACAAGGGCAAAGCAGAGAAATATGCTTACGAATGGCTGAACCCGATTGTGCCAAATTTTCAAGTTATGATGGCACGAAAATGTTATTTTTAGGTGTCTTTTCCTGAATTAACCTCTGTGACATCATAATACTGTGAAATATTGGCTCTCTGTGCACTAAGATTGATTGAAACTATGCACCAAGTTTTGAGCACTCAAATTTAAAGTGCACATCCTGTGATGTTGTTGCAGCGATATTGCTGATACACCAGACATGTGCAGCATGGCGTATGCATTTTGCAGTGTGGATGCTGGGCCATAGCTGCCTTAAAGAGATATTGAGCTCCACCTATTGTGTCTCGTACCCAAGCTTGGATGATCAGTCTAATACTGTAAACAGTTTTGCCTATCTGGTCTGCAAGCGAGATAAAATTTAGATAAAAAGGAGTTAATAAAATCTCATGGATGAAATCAATTTTTGGGTGCAATAGTTGCTACTCGCTGAATGTTTGACATTTCATTGCCCAGGGACAAGCAAAATTTTCATTTCTGCATATATGTAGCACATGCCAATAAGTCATTTGGCCCATCCATTCTGACTGTGCATGGCCAGATATATACAAATTCATAGAATTTGTCTGAATTTGCTAAGAAATAATTGTGAAGCATGTAGATGTTGATAAGTGTTACTTGTGTGCATCTGACTAGTTTTTAAGGTATGTTTTGTGATAGGCTGTACCTTCTACTTGGTCCCTCTAAAATATACATATGTATATATATATATATATATATATATATATATATATATAGTTAGATAGATAGATAGATAGATAGACACCTTGGTCACTAGTTTAATTAATGACAGCATTGCTGGAAAGCACCTTGATGCACAGATGTGCCCCTGAAAAACATGTCCCTAATTCTTTCTTTTTATATTTTATGCATCTATGTTTGGTCTGCTACATGTTACTGATATGCTAATTATTGTATGCCCGTAAATGGCAGCTATGGCATGCATGCAAGATTAGAAATTTATGCATAATGAACTCTGTTTACCCAAAATCTGAATTTTCACTTTATTGACACAAATTATTTCATATTTTGCTGTTAAACCCACAAAACACAACAACACATGCAATACATCTGTTCCCAATACAATGCACATGTACAATACCATGCATACACAATCAGGTCTGCTGGAGAAGGAGAAGTGTACATGTATTTCAGATGCACCATTGTTAAGTACTTACTTACCTTGTCCTACTGATTTGCTTAGACTGCATTTTAAAGGTTATGTACTTGATTGCATTGTTTGAAAAACAATGACCCTATTTGCAGCTGGAGACAACATGGGTGATAACATAATACTGCAGCTGGAGGCAGCTGCTAAAGTGTTTTTGGTAAGTGTATGTGACAAACCTTAGTGATATATTCCTCCCCCAAATTTTCTAGTTCTTAGGCCTATATGAATGCTGGTTACTCATTGAATGCTTGTGTTTTCCAGTTGAATGTTTACTGCACTTGCTTTCATCACATTTATGTATGACTTGCAACCAAGGAAATATTTCCCCAAAGATCATTTTACAGCTTATAAAGAGCTGTAAGTCATAATGATAGCTGAGGCTGAATGTTTATAATATTAGCCCATGTAGATTGCAGTAGCTTTGGCTCTGACTGATGTGATTTCTGTTCTCAGTCACCACCCACATGTGTCTCAGCAGAAGAGAGACATCAGGCAGAGCTGTTTTTCTTAGAGTTCCGCAAAACTCCAAGTCCATTTGCATTGTGCCGCACCATACTAGGTGAGTTCCTGCTTGAATGAAAGGTCAACAGATGATTGATGTTTGTTGGTGCCAATTTGCTGTCATTGCCTCATGGTGGTATGTTTTACCATAAGATATGTTTGTGCTTTGCACATTATTGATGTCATGAATGGGATTTATATAGTTGTATATGCACATAGGAAACAGGGGGGGGGGGGCAGTCAGGTTCATATGGGTGTGACGGTGGCTATTTGAATGCAACAACAGTGCAACTGCTGTGACATCATTGAGGATGCAGCAAGATCACTGAACAGCATGCAAGGAGATGGCGGTGGTGTCACAAACTGTTGGTTTGATTGAGTCGGTTGGGGTCTCAAACTATTCCAAGCCCCTTTCTCTATACATTGGATCTTTAAAACCAACCAATATTTACAAATGCCATTCTGTGACTGTTATCAGTTGTGATTGCTGATCTATAACTAGACCTACATCCTTCATATGGGGTTTCATGTTGATGCCTCAACTCACTGTCCTTTTTGCAGATGCATTCCAGCTTATTGGAACCTGTGGTTTACAATTTTGTGACATGTGCTAAAATGGAATTTAACATAATTTCTTGAAATGCAGCCTCTGCATAACCCAGAGGTGCTTCCAACATTGGTTATGGGGGAGGGAAGGAGGGCAGCAGTCTAGGCAATTTACAGGTTATTTAAGGTAAAAAGCCAAGCAATCATATTGGGGCTGTTGTGCTCCAGCAGTCAGTTTGAGCTCCCAAACAACAGCATCGGTGTGGGTCGGTCAGAAATCTCTGGAGGGGGGGGGGGGGGAGAAGTCAATCGGACCACCCTGATACGTGGGTTCGGGCCACAAGGGCTGCAAGAGGAATTCACAGTGTGGAAAAGGCATTAAGGATGACAACATGTGCAGAAAGCAAAGATAGGTAGTAGTTTCGCTATTACCACGAAGTAAAGAGCATGTTCCACTTTCATGGCAAACCGTGAAAGACACACACATGCTGGTGATTGCCCCCCACCTCTGTCGACGCTTAGGGCTGGTGAACTAGGCAAAGGTTTTGCAGTATTGGGACATGGGCGAACACAAATTGAAGAAAACCTCAACATTAGCTCGGAGCTTTAATTGATTCAGTTATGTTTGAGAATGTTTGAAGCTCTGCACGCAATGCCATGCCCTGCTTTCTGCACCCACTGATCGCGCTGTTGCCTTGTTTGCAGAGACATGTCAGGACTCGTACGTGCAGTTCGAAGCAGCCAACCTGCTGAAGGACGGGCTGCTGCGGGAGTGGAAGCAGCTGCCAGCTGAGGCCATCACAGAGCTGAAAAACTACCTGCTGAACTACCTAGTCGCGCACACAGGCGCGCCCGGCTTTCTCCGCGAACGGCTCGTACAGGTGATGTCTCACGGGCGAATGGTGGCGCGGTTGCGGGCCTTCGTTGCCAACAACCGGCAAAACGGCATCATTATTTTGTTTAATTCATGCTGTTTCCATGGTTTGTAGCTGCCTGTGAGCTGTGCTGGGCCGCCTGCGGGCTGTACTGGGCCACCTGCTCCTGCGTGTAGCCGCCTGCGGGCTGTACTGGGCCGCCTGCTTCTGCGTGGCTGTTGTGACTGGCTGACGGCGGTCGTCCCACCCTCTGACTGGCTGGCGGTCGGCAGACGGTGGCGATCCTGGTGAAGCGCCGCAGCGTCGAGGACGGAGGCGCCCAGCGCTCGGAGCTGCTGGCCAACCTCGAACAGCTCATCCGGTCGTCCGATATCAACATGGTGCGTGGGGTGGCTCCTCAAGTTACCGGGGCTCTCTCAGTGAGGCGTCAGCCCATCTGGGTCGCCAGGGTGCCCCCAGGCGCTGATGTAGCAGACATGTTATGGTTTTGTAGTTGTAGGAGCTGCAATAAGTGTGCGGTTATAACCAAAAGTTGCCCTCATTTCAACAATCAGCATTCATTGATGGATGATTATCATATTTGATGGCATTCATGTATGCGCGATGGGCTCCGAAACCTCGTCAATGTTCAGTTTTTCCGGAGTGAGATATGTATTTTGTCAATGGTGCAGCCTATTGTTTTTTTTTTGCTTGTCTCACGTGACGAAGGGCTCGACCACCTCCAAGAACTTAAAAAAAGAGCCATGTCTTGTTCAAGACGACTATTTTTTGCCAGCAGTGCCAGCTTGAATATGTTTCTGTTGCACGTAAGCCATTTTTAGCAAGATTTTAGTCACTGTGGATTTTGTTTTGACAAACAATGGTAACCTTGTTATGCATCAGCGTGCGTACGAAAATCTTGGAGCCCTGGGGGTGAAATGTGCCTCTCTCTCTTTATGGGCAGATTGTGAGATATGGCTCAGTTTTTGCCAAGAATGGCCAAATTAGGCACGTTTCCTATAGTGACTGACTCTGGTCATTGGGCCTTATGGATGGGAGTTTGTTGCCCCGTAGCGTCAGACGTTTGACCCAGCGCTCCAGAGCAGGCGTCATCCCACCGCGGCCATGCTGGAAATGGCCGTCTTCGCTGCCTGACTGTGCCAACTCCGTGCTTTGCAGCAACTGCTGGGCTGCAGCCTGATCGCAGCCCTGCTGCAGGAGCACGCCAACACACTCAAGTCCGCCGACGTGCTGCTCACCTGGGAGCAGCACTTCACGGCCAAGAAACAGTTCGAGGTACGCCTGAGACGGCCGGAGGCGGCGCGCCCGGTCATGGGACATTTTATTTTATTTTCGGCGCAAGTGTGGCTATTTTTGGAGCAGTAATTGTTTACCTTTGACCTGATTGTTATGTGATTGGGAAGTGGCAGGGAAAGGATGAAGAAGAGCTGCTGCCTGTCCCCAACTTTGGGTCGTTTACGACTATGAGTTCGGTGTATATGTGTGAGTGTGTGTGTGGTGTAAGATGGAGTGGCACAACCAGAAAAGATGAAAAGCCGTAACATTGCCACGCCTCCGTGTTCTAAATCTTCGCCGATCATCTTCTTTGACAAAAAATTCATGCGGACTCAAACTCTCATTTGGGATGTCTCCCTCTTTTTGATCACGTTGCAGATATATTTTGGCATGTTTGTCCCAGCCTGACGATGATAGCAATTTCTGCGCATGCCTCGTAATGTTTCTGACAATTCAGCTGCGAACATCCCGACGTTGGCTTGGGCGGAGTGCTTTACCCACCCCTTATGGGGCATCCTCAATTCCATTTCCCGGTCTTTCTTCGTTTTGCCACTCGCATTACTCCAATTCCCCTCCCGTGCCGGCTTGACCTGCCAGGGCCGGACCTATTCCCAATCACCTTACACCAGCTTCGTGTCCGAGCGACCGACCGATCCGCGGACTGGGGTTGTCTGGACGTCTGGGACGCCAGCCCTTGTCCAACAGGTGTCCGACCTGAAGCGGGTATTCGAGTTCTGCCTGAGCACGCTGGTGGAGGCGGAGAAGCTGCCGGCGCTCAACACGCCGCAGCAGGTGACGCTGGTTGACCGCCTGCTGCGCATCACCGAGAGCATCCTCTCCTGGAGCTTCACCAACTTCAACATCAATATCCTTTCGGCGCTGGCGTGGTGCGGTGGTAAATGGCCACGATGTTTCGGAGGGTGCCCAAATGGCCGGAGCAGTTCTGCCGACGAAGGCCGCGTGGGTAAAAAGCGTCACCTGAACGGTAGCCAGCTGCAGAATGCAGTTATGTGCCACAGACGCATAATTACGCGATGATGTGCGTGCGCAGACACCTACGTTGGGCCTAGGATCCGGTGTGAAGCTCCGCGCCTGGTCGTTGGTTTTCCTTGACGTGCTGCTCACAGTCTCAGCGTCTGATCGCCGTGTTCGAGTCGGAGCAGAACCCGTCGCTGCGGCCCGGCATCCAGTGGCGCGATCTCATGCTCAACCCGGACGTGGTCAGCCTCTTCTTCAAGGTGAGTACCGCGGGCTGGAGCTCGGGCGGCGGCGGCGCACCAGTGCCCGGAAGCTCTGCCCAGAGCTGCCCGGGAGGGGGGGGGGGGAAGGGGAAGGGATGGGGGCTGCTATTCCCACCCGGCGCTGAGCGAGGGTCTGATGGCAGAGCGTTGCGTCGCGTTGGTGCTCGGCTTGGCCCGCGGTCGTCCGTACCATGGGTTGGCCGCTGGAGGCCGGTGGCTGGCCGGTAGCTGGCCGCCGGCTGGCCGATGTCGTGCTGTTGATCAGCTGGACACGGGCTTGTCTGTATCGGTGCTGACTGTCGCAGGCCATGAGGACATAGCGCTTTACCACGAGCGTTTAATGGATCGCGTAGTTTCGCGTGCTCTAGATACGCCCCCTGGACACGGGTGGTTGTTGCGGGCAGTGGCCGTCCCTGGCAGCTCAGTCGGTAGGAGGTGGACACCTGACCACTAATGCGGCAAGCCCTGTGGGGCTGCCTCCCGGAAACTGCGATCGATTGTGTGGCTTGTCGGAGGCGGTAAGCTGGCAGCAGGTCATGAGATGGCTAGGCCGGGGCGGGGCAGCCGTGTCGTGACATTGTATGGCACGATAGAAGCATTACCGCCAAAATGACCCACTGCACCGGAATTGCTGTAGCTGGGGTCAGGGTCTTCGTAACGAGCTATACTCGTCAAGGACTCTGATCCCCAAAGGACTCCTATCTCTGCCAGATATTAGGTCAAGTTTATAAAAAAAAACAATTGTTATGAGTTCGGAAGCCTTGGCCTGAAAAGGACTACGAAACGGGCGTGGTTTGTCATTACAAACACACGCACAATTAATTGCGTAAGCATTGTTACTGCGTTGTGGATACACAGCTGCATGCTCGTTGCGGCGACCCGCCTCGCTCTCGGCTGTGGAGCTCCGCCTGTCGCCAGATGTACTGGAAAGTGCACCAGGAGGACCAGCTAGCGCACACCTGCATCAACTGTCTGAACCAGTTGGCGTCTCTGAACGGCACTGTCATCGGCGCCAAGGACCCCCGCGTCAGCTACGCCTCTCACTTCGCGCAGAACCTGCTCAACATCCTCGCATAGTGAGTGTCCGCCCAGCAGGCGTGGTGCTCCAAACCCCATACCCCACGTGATTATTTTTCGTTTGTGTTCACGTTCCGCTGACTGGTGTCCCAGTGCTCCTTTTGTGTGTGGTTCGTGCTTCTTAATTGTCCAAAGCGCCTCTTCATCGGCGGCGAGCAGACGGTCGGTGGTAGATCTAGGCTTACATACATGTAGTGTTTACCGGCTGAATAATAAATGTAAAGCCTTTGAGTAAGCCTTATGTTTAGGAGAGGGAGTGCCTTGTACCACATGATGATGTTCAGAAGTGCAAGTGCACGCAAGCTTCGTGGAGTCTTGATATCATTCCTCGCAAACTGCATCCACACGCAGAAATGCGTTTCTGGTATGCGTCAGTAGCGGCCGGCGGACCGGCAGGCCACCACGTGTGCCTAACAGCGAGACTGTTCCACCGGCGGTCTGTGTAGTGCCGCCGCCGCCGCCCCCACCCGCCTGACCGCGCGCCGCCGCTGCCGCAGCGAGCAGCTGCCGAGCACGCAGAGTCTGGGCGTGGCCGGCATCGTGCTGCGCTTCGTGCTCTTCTTCCCGACGCCGATCCTGGTACACCTGCCGGCGGAGCTGGTAGACAGCCTGCTGCTCGAGCTGACGCGCGCCACCTGCCGCTTTGCGCGCGCCGCCGCCACGCAGGAGGAGGTACGGTCGCGCGGCGTCGCTCGTCCCGCCTCCGAGCCGTGAACGTGCCGGTCGTGTCGTCCGCGCCAGCCGCTGTCAGCGCTGGGGAATAGTGGCATCGCCACCCCGGCTGTAGCCACTTGCGTCACGATGCTGGTCTGGGAATGGCATCGCTGTGCCCGGTGGGCTCTGGATGCGGACGTCCGATTCCGCTGCGTTCAGACGTGCTTCGCCGCGTGGCCGCGCGCCCCACCGCCCGCCCCGCCGGCAGCTGCACGTGGACGACCAGATGTACCGCGAGGCGTTCGGCAAGCTGCTGGAGGCCTGGATGATGCTGCTGCAGGAGGGCGACAGCTTCCCCTCCGGCATGTATCAGCTGTCGGCCACGCAGATCTTCGAGACGTACCTGCAAGTGCACCTGGGATCCCCGGACGGCTCGCGCGGCCTGGTCAGTCCGCCGGACGTTCAGACCGGCACAGATGGGCGTTGTCCAGTGCGGAGGGCTGTTGGCACTTGTGGTTAATGTGCGCTGGAGATTCCGAATTTTACATTTGAACAAAATGAGCTGTTTAAAGCAAAAAGTACTTTCGGAATGCGGGAAATGCACGCCAAGCATGCAAACTGACTATCTGCGGCCTTCGTTATCTTGCCTCTTTCACAACCGGTGTTCCGCTGCATGAGATTCCCGTTTTTGATTCATGTTCCCGGACTTTGTGACGCTGGAACCATGTGTGGCCCGTAGAAGACAGCCGTGCAGCAGGTACCTCTATACGTTGTTTTACGAAAATGTTGCATACATTTTTGACTGCCGAGTGTTTCGCACTCAGAGCTGCACGGATCTAACTTCTAAACGTCTAAACTCGAGGCGCACGCACGGCTCTTCAACTCGTGAGCGTCTGAGCTCTAAGCCAGCCCATTCCGCGTTTGTGTGAGTATCTGTAGCACGACCGAAGGTGCGGTCCGTGTCGCCTCCGGCACCATGCGTCGGTCGGCGCCTGCCCGCGCCGTCCGGCTCGCGACGCTCACCTGACGCCCGCCGCTCGGCCACAGACGTCCGACACCAGCGACGACGTGGAGGAGTCGGAGGAGAGCGACCGCGTGGCGTACCGGGACCAGCTGGCCGCCATCGGCGCCTTCGGCCGCAAGGTGAGCCGATGCCGTGCACCGGCGGGCCCATGTGGGACCTGCTCTGGTCGGGCAAAGGGCAGCGGATGTCGCACCAGACAGGTTGAGACCAGTCCCGAAACATGAGTCGCCGTCGACCAGGCGACTACGAAGCTGCTCAACGGTGGCTTTACCTCCGAGCCGGTTTGCAGCTGTAAACAGGTTTGAATTGGCTGTGACAAAACATGCACTTTTTCCGACGCGATCGGTAGTCCTAGCTGACTTGGTTGGTCTTGCGCGACTCACGCTCACCCGCGTTTAGGACGACAGGAGATATTCTAGTGTTCTGGATGTGCGAGAGTCGGGTTACCGTGTCGGGCCATGTGCCGCCCACCTGAGCCGTTGGTCGGTCCAGGGTGCGGGTGGGTGCTGACCCCCGGCCATGTGCCACCCACCTGAGCCGGTGGTCGGTCCAGTGTGCGGGTGGGCGCTGACCCCCGGCCATGTGCCGCCCACCTGAGCCGGTGGTCGGTCTAGTGTGCGGGCGGGTGCCGACCCCCGGCCATGTGCCACCCACCTGAGCCGGCGGTCGGTCCAGTGTGCGGGCGGGCGCTGACACCCGACCGCGCCGTCAGATCCCGGAGCGCTCCGTGCCTCTGGTGACCCGGCTGCTGGAGGCCCAGACGGAGCGCCTGCAGCGCCACCTGCAGCAGGTGTACCAGCAGGCGGCCCCGCCCGCCGACCGCCAGCAGCTGATCGCCCTGCACGAGGACATCCACTGGACGCTGATGATCGCAGGTCAGAGCCGCCGCCGGCGGCCGGCCGGCTTGGGGTCACCGACAACTGGGGCATGGTGCACAGCCCTACTCCACTCGTCAGTTGTCGGGTGTGAGCCACCACTGGCTTTGCGAAGCACTCGTCGCACTCTCCCGTCCCAAGGTTCATGATTCAGTCAGGTTACAGCGTAGACTGGGGCTGCCCGGCGGCGGTGTGTCGCCTCCCGGCTGACGGCGCCGGCCGCGGCGAGCTGACGCCGCCGTCGCCTCGCCGCCAGGTCACGTGCTGGCACTGGACCTGCGCAGCGAGACGTCGCTCATCTCGCCACGGCTGAACCAGTTCTCGGTCAGCTTCCTGAGCCCGGCCGACCGGCCGCAGGACCCGGCCGTGGTGGCCGCCAGTGCCGCCGCGCTGCGGCTGGCCGGCACCGACCCCGCTCGGACGCCCGAGCTGCCCGACAAGGTGGACCCCATCGTCAGGTGAGGGACTGCCCGACATGGTGGACCCCATCATCAGGTGAGGGACTGCCCGACAAGGAGGACCCCATCGTCATGGGAGGGACTGCCGATAGTGTGGCCCTTCGTCAGGTAAGACACCGCCCGACAGTGTGAATCCCTTTATCAGGGGAGGGACTGCCCGACCGTGTGGACCCCTTCGTCAGGTAAGACACCGCCCGACAGGGTGGACTTCTTCGTCGGGTGAGAGATTACGGACAGTGTGGACCCCTTCGTGAGGGGAGGGAGGGCTACCTGACGCCATGGTCGAGTGAGGCATGTTCGTCCGGGGTTCCCGACGGGCTGGGTCCGCCGGGAAGTGCGGAACATGGCAGTGCTTCGGCGGAATGACCTCGCCGCGACATGTGCGCGGGTCCGGTCACCTGCTGCCGTGCGGAACGGACAAAAAAGTTGACCGCCGTTTGTGGGAAGATGTGCCTGGGTGGTTAAGGGCGGATGGACGGATGGACGGTGTCAATTGGTGATAGATGTGGTTATCGTCACTGTCAGGTATGTGTGTGAATGCCTTATGAGGAAAACATGCGATTCGCGTTCGCGGTGAGAACGTAGGGAAAACGATGCACTTTTGAACTGGGTGACCGGAACATACCAAATCTTAGCACAAAATGTTTGGAGTTGCCAATGCGGTTCATCGGACCCATATGATTGGACGCCGGCAGTTCCCCTAACCTGGAACACTTATCGCACCCCAATCACCATCGCAGTGCGGCCCGCAGTTTTGAGTCTTGGGTGGTGCAAAATGACCCTTTCAGAATGGTTATTCGCACATGTGTTTTTCACATGATCTCATATCACATTAGATGACGCGTGATAATCCCCCGTCATGTGGCTGGCGAGCGTGCGACACCTCCCCGAACGCCCGTCCTCCCCTGCGGGCAGGCTGGTGGCGTGCGGGGTGCGCATCCTGAAGATCCTGCAGACGGCGGCGCAGTCGAATCTCAGTGACGTCATCAGTCCCGAGGTGACCTGCACCACGCTCTGGTTCATGCAGCGCGTCACGCTCACCTACCTGATGCCCAACGAGAACTACTACAACCTGGTGCGTGTCGCCGCCGACTGGCCGCGCCTGGCACAAGCAGGGACGGGTGTGCTCGGCCGGCCGGGAACGTGGGATGGAGTGGTCCTTAGGCGATCCGGCGAAAGGTGATTCAATGAGGCGGCATGCAACGTGCGGTGGCTCTGTCCAGCAGCCGCTAAAAAGTCCTAGTTTGATTTATCCATCTGTTCGAAGGCGCATGGCTGGGCTCGCACTCCGGGCGGGAATGCTGTTGTACGTGCATTATGTGCTAGTAAATGTTTTCATACATTCCGTTCCTGATTTTCAGCTGTCCGCTAGCCTTCTCAGCGCTTTTGGTACAGACAGCGAGTCCAGTCTCTGGATCGTCGGCTTTTTGCTGTCGGCGGTGCGGCAGATGCTCACCACCATGGCCTCGGAGCCGGACGTGGTTTCAGAGACCGTACAGCTCCTGGATACGCTCTGCGAGTCGAAGGAAAGGTGAGATGATGCATTGGGAGGGTCAACGGTCTTCATCCAGAACGCACGTGGGCGTATGTATATTGCTCTAGCTGCTGGATGATGCCGTGAGCTATGTGCTGCTATGAGCTGCGGCTTCGCGTGAGCGTTCGGTAATGCTAAACGGTTGGCAGCGGCGGGATTCGAACCCACGCCCCGGAGGAGACTGGTGCCTTAAACCAGCGCCTTAGACCGCTCTGCCACGCTACCATCAGGTTGTTGTGGCGCGGCGCGCCTATCGCTATGTCGTATCTGTTGCCTCGCCAGCTGTTTCTGCCGTGAGTGGCGTCAGTCGCCGTTAAGTCGTCTGTTCATGTAGTCGGTAGCTCATGTGTCGTGACCTTCACCTGCTAATGGTTTAGATGTACCAGCTGCCTTGAGCAGCCCTGCTGAAGGCGACGGGTGGTGGCCCGCTGTAACCTGCAGCGATGCCGCGTCACTGGGGTTAGACCGGTGATTCAGTGTAGCTGCCAGCTGTAGCGTTCGTTAGAGGGATGAAGTAGCGCGTCAGCGTGACCTCTCGTGGCAGTGACGGGACCGGTAGGTGGTCCAGTGTGAACAGCTGGGGCCTCTCGTCAGCCTGGTCTCTGGCGACCTGCAGCTGTTGTGTCCTGTTGCAGGGGTCGGGCGGTAATCCAGTGTGAGCAGCTGGGGCCTCTCGTCAGCCTGGTCTCGGGCGACCTGCAACTGCCGTCGGTGGCCCGCCGCGGCCTCCTCAAGGCGCTGGTGAGCGTCGCCTCGACGGCGCCCGAGCCGAGCGTCACGGCCGACTACCTGGCCAGGTGAGCCCTACGGTCGAGTGTTGAGGGGGTGAAGCCTCCAGCGAAGCGCCGGGAGGGTCAAGCCCGCAGTGGAGCGTCGCCGCCAGCTCTAAGCCCTGAGAATCATTATTGGCCATCATCGAATGTAATGAGTAGTGATGATTGATAGCGATTATGGTAAATGATTTGCTGAGAGACTACGGAAACTCAAGGACGGTGCACTTAAAACGGCGAAAGCTTTGGCAGCGGTGGGATTCGAACCCACGCCTCCGAAGAGACTGGTGCCTTAAACCAGCGCCTTAGACCGCTCGGCCACGCTACCATTGAGCGGCGCGCTCGATGCCTGCTGAACGGTGTGCTTCCCTCCCCCCTCCCACGCTAACTTTCAAGACGTGCTTAGGCTGGTGATGTCATTATCAGAAGAGATTGAACATCCTTAGTCTATCAACACGTTAAGGTCGCGAGACCATGGCAGGCCCACGTTATTGCCTCCATGCGTCCTGGACCCACGGGCCACGCCGTTCGCGCTCAGAGCTGTTCCGGCCAGCGGTACGCTATACGGCGGCTTTCTGAGCACGAACCCGTCATTTGACCGCGCCGAACGGCTGCTGTTAAACGTCGCCGTGCGCGCTGAGTGCGTGCAGCAAGGGCACGCGATACACGCTCGTCGTATGTGAATCTCACCACGTAGTGTTGCGCTCTGTCGTGCGCCATCCGTCGGCACCGCCTGCCAGTGACTGCCGTCTGACGCCGCCCCGTCCGCCGCAGGCTGCTGGCGCCGCTGCGCGCCTCGTTCGTGGCCGTGATGACGGCGCCCGACTTCCGCAGCCTGTACCACGAGGACGTGGTGCGGCTCAAAGTACTCGGTCTGGTCGAGGCGTTCATCGGTGAGTGCCGTCCGGCCCGACGGCGGCCTGACGCCGCGGGGAGGTGGTAGTTGCGGGCTCGCTCCGCTGGTGGATGATGGGGGGGGGGGGGGGGGGGGCGGAGTGGTGCAGCAACAAATGGGTTAACCACAGTGGGCTGACATGTTGCTTGTGTTCCAAGTTGTCCATTGCTGTGATCGTGTTGTGCACGCATTACCGTATTTGATATGAGTTTAGCGCCGGGCTGCCCAGTTGTTGGCAGGGTTGCAGGTTGTCGCGCCAAAGTTTGCCGCCGTTATGCCGTAGACCATGGCCAGAATCCGCTGAGGTAATTCATGATATTTCACCAGCGCAACGAGCGGAACAGGATCACTGACCTCATAGCCGCTGCCCACTTCTCCGTGTAACCTCCCGCTGTGGCCGTGCGTTTCAGGCGTGTCGCAGGGAGCACAAGTACAAAACTCACAGCACGTGTTCCCCGTGCTGTCGGAGACGCTGTCAGACACACTTCAGCTGATGGACATCTACAAAAACTACCGCCAGATATTCGAGCTGATCATGCAGCTATACGCCGAGACGGCCAAGCGCATGCTGTGCTTCTTGAAAGCGGTGCGTCATACCTCGCCGATGTGGCGCCGCGATAGGTTTCTGCAGACCACATAGTCACAGTCAGTCGCCGCATGGTCTGCAGTTTGGAATTACTAAGAGGAATGTGCACTGTTGGGCTCCACTCAACTGCAAGTGTATTTTGCTGGCGTATGATTTCTTGGGCACTTTGTATTTAATATTGGTGTCAGATTGTTTTGTGTTTGCCGGCGATGTCCTGCCGGTCGCAATGTTGACCCGACTGTTGTGCTGCAGACGGAGAGCCGCAGCATCTACGACTGTTGTGCTGCAGACGGAGAGCCGCAGCTTCTACGACTGTTGTTGTGCTGCAGACGGAGAGCCGGTGCTTCTACGACTGGTGTTGTGCTGCAGACGGAGAGCCGCAGCTTCTACGACTGTTGCTGTGCCGCAGACGGAGAGCCGCAGCTTCTACGACTGTTGTTGTGCCGCAGACGGAGAGCCGCAGCTTCTACGACTGTTGTTGTGCCGCAGACGGAGAGCCGCAGCTTCTACGACTGTTGTGCCGCAGACGGAGAGCCGCAGCTTCTACGACTGTTGTGCCGCAGACGGAGAGCCGCAGCTTCTACGACTGTTGTTGTGCCGCAGACGGAGAGCCGCAGCTTCTACGACTGTTGTTGCGCCGCAGACGGAGAGCCGCAGCTTCTACGACTGTTGTTGTGCCGCAGACGGAGAGCCGCAGCTTCTACGACTGTTGTCTCAAGATGATCGCCACGTACGCGCGGCACCAGAGTAACCTGCGCGTTTCCGTGGGCGACTCGTCCGCCGAGGAGGACAGCTTCTCCGACCTGCTGCTGCTCATGGAGCTCCTCACCAACATGCTGACGAAGGACATCATCGACCTCGGCGGGCATGACGGTGCGTCAGCTGACTGGCACGTGCCGATGGCCGCTGGTAACGAGCCGGGTCGCCGGTGGTGGCCTGGCTCTTACTGTGCTGCTGTCCGTGGAAGGGTGATCAAATGGCGTATGTTTCTCATTCATGTAATGCCAATTATGGCTTCACTAGCAAAGGCCAAAGGCTAACGCAAAGACATTACGCTCAACTAATTGGCGTCAATGACGCCGACGGCATGAGCAGTTCGCACCCGTGCCGAGAGGCGGCGGTAATCTCCGCCCGAAGCTAACTCGGGTGGCCGCCGACAGGTGGCAGCGACGGCGAGGACGTGGCCGCCGCCGACGTGTGTCTGTACGGCCTGAACACGATCATGCCGCTGATGAGCGCCGAGCTGCTGCGCTTCCCGGCGCTCTGCCTGCGCTACTTCAAGCTCATCACCTTCCTCTGCGAGATCACGCCCGTCCGGGTACGGCCCTGCGGCGGCACAGTGCGGGCTCGACGACACGCACGGCGGGGGTCGGGGGCTGAGGAGGCGGTGTGGGGTGGAGTTCAGTTGCCGGCGGTTCGGGACCTTGGACTTTCTCCAACACGCGGACCCCCTCTAGATTGTGGTTTTCTTCATTCCGTTATAAATTCGGTTGTTTCTCCATCGCTGTGAGCACAAGCCGTGCTATCGCTGATGTTTTGACTAGCACACCCAAAAGGTGGCAGATTCCGTTTTGATTGGGAGGCCGCCTACCGCACATCATCGCAAGTTCTGTCGGTGCCTGCCCCAGATCCTGGACCTGCCGGAGAGCTTGCTGGACAACATGCTGAGCTCTGTGCGGCTGGGGCTGACCGAGTACGGACCGGAGGCGAGCGCGCTGGCGCTGGACTTCCTGCACCAGCTGACCAGTCACGTGGTGCTGAACCACCTGCCGGCCGAGCACCGCGTGCGGCAGGCGCTGCGGCCCTTCGTCAAGCACCTGCTCGACCTCATCCTCTCCAACGGCGTCAACTCGGAGGTGCTGCAGGGCTCCAGCGGCGCCGTGTTCGCGCTCATCTGCTGCTTCCAGGTGTGTGGGCCGCCTGGCCACACACCGCCTGTGGGCCGCCTGTGCGGCCGGCGCGGTGGGTGGGGAACAAGGGCGCGGGGTGGTGTGCAGCAGCGTTGGTTCATTGGCGCACCTTGCAGATGATTGTTTTGCCAGAGATGGATGTATGGGACATTATAAGTCATCGTTCCGGACATTGATTTGTGAGTAGTATCTTCTGGGTGGGAAAAGGAAACCAGTAGCTCGCGTTGTGCGGCCTTTGGAATTAAGCTGCCGACCTTTGTCATGAACCCATCGACCTCTGCCATATGGCTCCGCCAGAGGTTAAGTCTCATATGCTGTGTTCACAGTGGTTTAATATTCGGCTAATTGGGCGGCAAGGGCGTCGATATTTTTCATACTATCGCACCGCGTCTCGGGATCCACTGCCTGTTGCTGCTCCGCTTGCTTATGACCGGCCAGTCAGCATTGAACCTGAACCGGGCGGCGGTCAGCTCAGCATCCAGGCGCCTCAAGCTTGGCACTCGATACTTAGCACTTGGCTTGGCCGGTCACGCCAGGTGTCGGCGTTTAGGGTCAGCGGTCAAGGGGTTAGCAGCTAACGAATTACGCATGCCAGAATTCTGGTAGTTCGAATTGCTATTGGTCTCCTGTTCATCCTTCTGAATGCATTTTGGAACGTGTATTCGCACCACCTGCGGGTGCGTGGTGGCGCGGCTGCGTGCCCAGCTGTACTGCGCGCCGGCGGGTGTCCGGTCTCGACCGACGCCAGCTCTCCGCCGCCGCAGGAGGAGTACCGGGAGCTGGCGATGGCGCTGATCCGGACCCAGGGGGACGGCGAGCGCGGCCAGCGGCTAGCCAAGGCTTTCACAGGCCTCACCAGCTCGGTCGACCGCTCGCTGGACCGCGTCAATCGGCTCAAGTTCCGCGACGCCTTCAAGGAGTTCCTGGTGGAGATCCGCGGCTTCATGATGGTCAAGTAGGCTGGCTGTGATACGGCCGGTCGGCCGGCCGCGTAGCAGTGCCTTGGCGGGCGGCGGGCGTGACGAGGCCGTGGCCGTGGACAGGGGCGGCGCGCGCGGCACCGGCCGCTGCCGTCGCGACCGAGCCGACCCGGTGTGTGTCCAGTGTGCGTGTATGTGCGCGTGTTTGTGTATTTATGCGCGGTCAGCTCAGGAGGCGGCGGGCGCCGTGAGTCCGGGCGCTCGAGGGACGCTACGCGGCGCCGTGCCCCGCGATCGCCGATGTCATGACGGCGGGTGGACTGGTGCACGCCGAGCCGCGGCGGGGTGGCGACTGGCGCCCCCGCCAGCGCGGGACACCACCGCGCGCGCGCGCGCGCCGCCCGGCGAGCCTGCGCCGCCGCGCCGCTCGCAAACCGCATCTCCGTCCTCGTCCGCCGCGAGTGGCACCCCCAGCGGCCTGTTTCCTTGTTCCGTTGTGTTGCGTTGCTCGATCTCTCGCTGCTTGCGCCGTGCGTGCGTGGCTGGGCTGCGTGGGCGCGCCTGCGCGGTAGCCGTCCGTGTCACCTCCGAGGACGCGCGGCGCGTCCGCAGCGACGCGGCCGCGGGACAGCGGCACGCCCGCCGGACGATCTCACCGGGAGAGCCGTTCTCAGCGAGCTTTGATGTTTTATCTCGATCCGCCGGCTCCGTAATGGCCTGGCGTGTGTCGAATGCAGGCCCAGACATAGCAGAGGTGCCCCACGGACTGGGCGTTTTCGGTTTGGTTGACGCTGACTACCGTAGCAAACCGATCAAAATGTGAGGGTCTGTTTTTACAGGTTCGAAGTGTTACATCGGTCCTCGGCTGCTAGTCCTGCGCATGGTATTCTACGCTCGTGTGTCGCCGGCGGTCGTCGTGTGGTGCAGTGTACAGACTCGTTGACGTTTACAAAGTCGTTTGATAAAATACTGTATTTAAAAAATGCAGTCTTGTTGCAACCAAGCATGACGACATCCTTCTCGGATGATCTATGCGAACGCCTCTCGGGATAAGGAGGGTCGTGGAGACGTCAAACGCACACCTTACCCGGTCGCGAAGACTAACAATGCCGCGCCCACTTCCGCCGCTCATCATCTACAGGGTGCGGACGCCCTTCAGCGAATGCTGCGGGCATCAGTTTGACTCACAGTCGAGCCCTCCCAGCTCATGCGCATGCAGCCAGGTCTTCAGCTGGTTCCCGCGACCGCGACAATAGTTTCCCAGCTTGCCACTAGATGTCACTACTCGATGGCACGGCACCACCAGCGTGAAAGGGTTGTGTCCCATGGCATAGCCCACGTGGCGGCTGGCCTCTGGAAAAGTGCGGGCCCGGGATCCGGGCCAGCCAGAGCAGTCAGGTCGGGATCCGGGTGGGTCAGCCGATATCTCGCACAGCGAGCATGTGCTCGCTCGTCCTCGGATGGGATAAGTACAAGGGGTTGAGCCAAAAGAAAGCTTCTGACGTTATTTTTCCTACAACCAGCAGAAGTTTCTGACTTCTGATCACCAGAGGTTCATTTTCAACCCGGGCAAATCACGCACAACAGACAGGGTCTGCCAGCATCACGCTACGGTCCACAACACTGTCGCCGTGACCATGATACCATATGCATTTGGCGGCATGCCGCAATGTTTTGTAATAGCTATAACTTATAAAAGGATTTGACGTCCTCGTTTTTCGGCATTATCAGTTGGGAGTTCTGACAATTATCGGCCTTCACTTTACCAGGAGGTGCTCATGTGAAACCATGTGCTCATCATGAGATGTGCAGGTGTCATGTGGATGTTCCTATAATGAAAACGGGCCCAATGGGCCTGTTTTCGGGCAAGCACGGACCATATTGACAAAGCGCGTGTTTGCTTAATAGCGTCGTTCAATCAGTACTCCCCGTTGTTTTTAAAACTGATTAATGTCGGAATAGGAACTCCCAACTCAAGTATCGCTCTGTATACTAAACTAAAACGCGATTTCTTGTGCAGGCCACTTCTTGATGAGAGATGGTCCAATTATTTCCATCGGTCCCAATGAGACAGGACCAATCCAAATAGTGAAACACAACGGCTGTCGCATATTCACGCAAATGTTTCAACATAACAAACAAAAAAGTATCAAGTTGAGAAGGCTTACTTGGGTTTCCACATAGCTGCGCCAGTCCGCCATACGAAATCGTAGTTCCTGGCCCCACTTGGTCCTTGAGCTTATGCCAAATCGGAATGCATGACTCAACTGCAAAGGCGCCAGGGTTAGAATTACGACGTGCGTATCTTATGCCATCTGAGGGTGTGTTCGAACAGGAATACCCAGCTGCCTCCCTTCCCTGCCTTTGAACATGGAGGGGGAAAAATTTAACGCAAAGCAACTAGCGTACTCGGTATCACGCGTCTCATGTCAGCGCCGCTCTGCTGCTCTAGATTGGCCTTGCAATTTTCCTTGTTACATTAGAAGAGTTCATGTCTGGGATCACTTTTTAAGATGACATTCTGGGCGCGGCCCCCGATCACGTAGTTTAGAAACCCGAAGACGCAACATGTACTCTAAAGTACAAAATGAGTCAAGTGGGCCATGCCAGAAATATTTTATCATAAAAATCAACACAAATCCTTCTTTTACTGTTGATTAAAAACTTTGGTTACTCCAAAGGAGCGAAAAGTAACGTACTCATATATCTTACGTTCACCAACTACTGTCTGGACTTATGCCAGGTGAACATGACATCAACGTATGCCACAGTCAAAGGTCATGATTGCTGGGGGGAGGCGTCCTCCTCTAAGGCGGTGTCGCCCCCGGCCTGCCGTTCCACCACAAAGTCGCATGTCGCGCTTGACTGACCATGCCACATGGGAGCTGATGCGCGATGTGCTCCAGCCGGACCAACACATACGTAAGCAAGTTTTTCATGCGCTGTTCGTGCGCCAGGTAAGCTCAACGACCGAGTGCCGAGAGGTTGAAGCCTCCAGCGGAGCGCCGAGGGGGGAGTCTCCAACGGAGCACCGAAGGGGTGAAGCCTCCAGCGGAGCGCCGAGGGGGGTCTCCAGGAGAGCGCCGAATAGGTGAAGCCTCTAGCGGAGCGCCGAGGGGGAGTCTCCAGCGGAGCGCCGAAGGGGTGAAGCCTCTAGCGGAGCGCCGAGGGGGGAGTCTCCAGCGGAGCGCTGAAGGGGTGAAGCCTCCAGCGAAGTGCCGAGGGGGGAGTCTCCAGCGGAGTGCCGAGGGGGAGTCTCCAGCGGAGTGCCGAGGGGTTGAAGCCTCCGGCGGAGTGCCGAGGGGGTGAGGACTACGACAGAGTGCCAAGGGGGTGAAGCCTCCGGCGGAGTGCTGAGGGGATAAAGTCCCCGCCGGAGTGTCGAGGGGTGAAGACTACGGCGGAGCGCCGATCGCCGCACTGCACCTGTGCCCTCAGTGGTAGCGTGGTCGATCGATCTAAGGCCCTGCTTTAAGGCACCAGTCTCTTCGGGGGCTGGTGCCTTAATGCTAAGTTGAAGTTAATGGCACCCCGGGCTGCCACTAACACATCTGCTTCTTTCCTGGTAATCTGAACACGGAAGTACCATTCGCTGGGCCGTGAGTACTGAACACTAACACGCATTTAAAGCACAGCATTGAATCGACTGGATGTGATTTGAGGGGGCACTTTAACGCGAGCTTATCACGTGCACCGCGATGGCATGCACAACCGCATCGGGCCAATCCCCACACGCCTCATAACGCTATAATTTGGGAACGCCACCACTGAACACGTGCGGCGTCAGGAGCAGGCATTCTGACGATATTCCACCGACCACCCAGCGCGTACCTTTGACCTGCCGTAGGCAGAGCGGCGGCGGACGCTGGGCGACGTGCGGGTCGCGGAAGTACTGGCGCAGCCACGCGACGGCCTCCTCGAGCGGCGCACAGCTCGGGCCTTGCCGGCCCGTCACCGCCCCCCACGTCTCCTGTCTGGCGGGGAGACCCCCCGCCGTCAGACAGAACCCAGCGGCCGGTCTGGCAAACAGACGCAGAGCGCGCGCTCCGGCGATTAGCGGGAGCACTACCATTGTTACATGGGGAGAAAGTAGACAACAGGTCAGCCAGCCCTAAAACAGATCATCATATCAAGTTATTTGTGCAAGACGTTACCTGTGTTCTGAGGTAAAATATGAACAATGCAACTCCATCTGTAATCCTGAAGGCCAGCCGGGGCTTTACCACAACATGCGCTTTAAACATAAGGATCATTAATGACATTTGCACTTCAATATTCACTTACAATATGCTGGTTTTTCCTCAACATGTATACTGGTGAAAACATGAAGGAAACATACCTTGCCTTTGGCACCATGGAAGAATCATTGTTCATTTGCCATGAAATGCTATGTATGCCAGATTCACAAGCCCCAATCAAAATATCACATAAAGGGGACTCAAATGTGGCTGTGCTGGTGTCCTTGTGGTCAGATCTTGAGAGCCACTCTTTCTTATCCCAGCCTGTGTTCATCCTCAGTGTCTTGCTTTCACGTTTCACCCGCATCTCTCGAATTGGAGCCAATCTCACTATTTGCTGGAAATGAGAGGTGACATGGAAAGTTACTCTTCATTCAGCATCATATTATGCCATGTTGGCTATGAGTTTCCCTGAGAATGACATCCAAAGGAAGTGACCTAAAGCAAATTTATTTCTGAGACTCATTTTTAACCAAGCAAAGCAGTTGGAAGAATCTGAACAACAATCACCAGCATTTAACTCAATGGCAATGAAGGACAAATTGGCAAAGAAATTACCAGTGATATACACAGACACATTTGTGCATGAGCATTCATTTCTGAAGAGTTTAGTACATTGAAAGTCATCTGCACAAAAGTGTATCCAAGTTACATATAGCTTTCCTATGTTGTGTCATTAATCTGAGCAGTCAGTCTATATAGGTACTGGACTGTCCAACTTGCTTTTCAAATCAAGTCAAAAATTTTTCTTTGGGTGAAGATCTGAGATCAGAATTCATGCACGCTATGCTTGTGTGAACCCAGACCCTGCCACCTATTGCTGACCTTCCAGTTCTCAGCATAATCTATGGCAAAAGTTTGACAGCCCTCAATGCTTGAAACAATACATCCGCTTGTTTGACCTCATCTTCAAACCCACTCACCCTGCCACAAACAGAATAAACTATACAGGTTACATCTTGCATAACTTCTGGCAACACAGTGTGTGCACATGTTAAACTAGTGAGCTCAGAGTGAACTACATGTTTGGCACCAAGCTCAGACCAGATGATTTCAAACCCCATGTTTCAAAAAATCATTTCACTATGGTGCTATGAATAAGTTGATTTCCAAACATTTCTTTAACCACAAACTGTTTGAGAATTCTGCATAGTTTGGCAATGTCTAAGTTTGGCACATGCATGCACCGATTTTAGGACATTAATGTCATGTGTCAGGTGCAGTGAAGACTTTTCCAGACTGGGTCACAGTAGGATGGGAGGCAGGCACTGTAACTGATTGAGCAATGGAGGTGGATATAATTTGTTTTGACAGAACATTCATGATCAGTGTATTAAGTTCTGATGTGTCCTTTCAATCTCAATAATATTTCCTTAAAAGCATTTTCAAAAATTGTATACACCAACATGTACCGTAGATAGCAGTGTTGGAAAACTCGACATTTCCTAATATAAGGTACACCAGGTGATTTTGTGCTCTAGCATCGTGACTAGGTAAAATGAAATATTTTGTACTTCATCATGATGCAAGAAGAGCAGCTTTTTAAAAAAACAATTTTATCTCTCTGTGTCAGGACAAAATATAACCAGAAGGTGCAACAGCTTGAGACTTGCCGCTTCCATCAGAGCCATGTATTGATATCTGCAAGAGCACAAATCTTGCGCCCACCAGACTAAGATGCCCAATAGCAAGCAGCCTGCTTTGCTACCCAGGTAAGTGATAGATCGTGTATGGAAATGTGAAAAATAAAGCGTGTGAATGTTGAATGGAATCGCCTTTGAACAATACCGGGAAATGAGAAACGAGCACCAGGATCGCGACGGTCTGTACATTAGCAAAGGTCTCACTTCCCATGCCCTTCGCAGACCAACTCAAACTTGAACATGACCTAACCTACCATTGACAACGAACCGCATTAATGGCCAAGGATGTAACGAACATTCATAGAAAACCGCACGCCCAACACGTCTGTCAATCTAGCAGCAGATTGATATCCAATTGCCAGTTGGATATTGCGGGGCGTCTCGATTGCCGCCAAATTTGGTGTGCAGGGCCTTCTCAACACGCTGATTCCGAAAATTACTGCCTTTGGGGTGGAATTTTGCGTAATTTTTGAGTTATACGCTGCGTAACATCCCAATGTGATATTGCGCGGCGTCTCGATTGCCTCCAAATTTGGTGTGCAGGGCCTTCTCAACACGCTGATTCCGAAAATCAATGTCTTTGGGGTGGAATTTTGCGTAATTTTTGAGTTATACGCTGCGTAGCATCCCAATGTGATATTGCGGGGCGTCTCGATTGCCTCCAGATTTGGTGTGCAGGGCCTTCTCAACACGCTGATTCCGAAAATCAAGGTCTTTGGGGTGGAATTTTGCGTAATTTTCGAGTTATACGCTGCGTAACATCCCAATGTGATATTGCGGGGCGTCTCGATTGCCGCCAAATTTGGTGTGCAGGGCCTTCTCATCACGCTGATTCCGAAAATCAATGTCTTTGGGGTGGAATTTTGCGTAATTTTCGAGTTATATGCTGCGTAACATCCCAATGTGACAATGCGGGGCGTCTCGATTGCCGCCAAATTTGGTGTGCAGGGCCTTCTGAACACGCTGATTCCGAAAATCAACGTCTTTGGGGTGGAATTTTGCGTAATTTTTGAGTTATACGCTGCGTAACATCCCAATGTGATATTGCGGGGCGTCTCGATTGCCGCCAAATTTGGTGTGTAGGGCCTTCTCAACACACTGATTCCGAAAATCAATGTCTTTGGGGTGGAATTTTGCGTAATTTTTGAGTTATACGCTGCGTAACATCCCAATGTGATATTGCGGGGCGTCTCGATTGCCTCCAAATTTGGTGTGCAGGGCCTTCTCAACACGCTGATTCCGAAAATCAATGTCTTTGGGGTGGAATTTTGCGTAATTTTTGAGTTATACGCTGCGTAACATCCCAATGTGATATTGCGGGGCGTCTCGATTGCCTCCAAATTTGGTGTGCAGGGCCTTCTCAACACGCTGATTCCGAAAATCAATGTCTTTGGGGTGGAATTTTGCGTAGTTTTTGAGTTATACGCTGCGTAACATCCCAATGTGATATTGCGGGGCGTCTCGATTGCCTCCAAATTTGGTGTGCAGGGCCTTCTCAACACGCTGATTCCGAAAATCAATGTCTTTGGGGTGGAATTTTGCGTAATTTTCGAGTTATACGCTGCGTAACATCCCAATGTGATATTGCGGGGCGTCTCGATTGCCGCCAAATTTGGTGTGCAGGGCCTTCTCAACACGCTGATTCTGAAAATCAATGTCTTTGGGGTGGAATTTTGCGTAATTTTCGAGTTATATGCTGCGTAACATCCCAATGTGATAATGCGGGGCGTCTCGATTGCCGCCAAATTTGGTGTGCAGGGCCTTCTCAACACGCTGATTCCGAAAATCAAGGTCATTGGGGTGGAATTTTGCGTAATTTTTGAGTTATACGCTGCGTAACATCCCAATGTGATATTGCGGGGCGTCTCGATTACCTCCAAATTTGGTGTGCAGGGCCTTCTCAACACGCTGATTCCGAAAATCAATGTCTTTGGGGTGGAATTTTGCGTAATTTTTGAGTTATACGCTGCATAACATCCCAATGTGATATTGCGGGCGTCTCGATTGCCGCCAAATTTGGTGTGCAGGGCCTTCTCAACACGCTGATTCCGAAAATCAACGTCTTTGGGGTGGAATTTTGCGTAATTTTCGAGTTATACGCTGCGTAACATCCCAATGTGATATTGCGGGGCGTCTCGATTGCCGCCAAATTTGGTGTGCAGGGCCTTCTCAACACGCTGATTCCGAAAATCACTGCCTTTGGGTTGGAATTTTGCGCAATTTTCGAGTTATACGCTGCGTAACATCCCAATGTGATACTGCGGGGCGTCTCGATTGCCTCCAAATTTGGTGTGCAGGGCCTTCTCAACACGCTGATTCCGAAAATCAATGTCTTTGGGGTGGAATTTTGCGTAATTTTTGAGTTATACGCTGCGTAACATCCCAATGTGATATTGCGGGGCGTCTCGATTGCCGCCAAATTTGGTGCGCAGGGCCTTCTCAACACGCTGATTCCGAATATCAAAGTCTTTGGGGTGGAATTTTGGGTAATTTTTTTAGTTATACGCTGCGTAACATCCCAATGTGATATTGCGGGGCGTCTCGATTGCCGCCAAATTTGGTGTGCAGGGCCTTCTCAACACGCTGATTCCGAAAATCAACGTCTTTGGGGTGGAATTTTGCGTAATTTTTGAGTTATACGCTGCGTAACATCCCAATGTGATATTGCGGGGCGTCTCGATTGCCTCCAAATTTGGTGTGCAGGGCCTTCTCAACACGCTGATTCCGAAAATCAATGTCTTTGGGGTGGAATTTTGCGTAATTTTCGAGTTATACGCTGCGTAACATCCCAATGTGATATTGCGGGGCGTCTCGATTGCCGCCAAATTTGGTGTGCAGGGCCTTCTCAACACGCTGATTCTGAAAATCAAGGTCTTTGGGGTGGAATTTTGCGTAATTTTCGAGTTATATGCTGCGTAACATCCCAATGTGATAATGCGGGGCGTCTCGATTGCCGCCAAATTTGGTGTGGAGGGCCTTCTCGACACGCTGATTCCGAAAATCAATGTCTTTGGGGTGGAATTTTGCGTAATTTTTGCGTTATACGCTGCGTAACATCCCAATGTGATATTGTGGTATATCAGTGGTTGTGTTACTTGCTGAATTTATTCGGGATCTTTCTCTACGCTGTTGTATGTGGTATTCATGCTGCAGAATTCTGCTAAGCTTTGGTCTCAATTTAGATGCGTTCAACGCGATGTGCGTACCTTTTGGTGATGTTTGCGCAATAGCATATCTTCAGCTCATGTTATGGCGTAATGCAAATGACACAAAATGATAATATTTCACGTTTTGGTGGCCTGGCTTGCTGATAAGTTATGTATTGTAACAGGCGATGTTTGTAAGACTCGATGTCGTTGAAGCCAGTCTCGTCGCGACGCCTGCGCCGATCGCTGGTCTAACGGGGCACTGTCGTGTTCACAGCTGTCAGCCCGATTCCGGGCTTGCCATCGGGCGTGTCTGGGGAGCAGGCGTCTGGCAAGCCGTTCCCCATGGTGATGCTGGTTCACCTGAGTCTGCTGACGCGCTTGCTGATGGTAAAGCTGGTGCCGTTCGGCCAGCTCCTGGCCACGGCGGCAGCCGACAACGAAGGGTCGGAGGCTAACATCTTCAAGAGGCCGCGAGACAACACGGGGTCAGGCGAGGGTGACATATGCCTTCTCTTTTCAGGGTGAAAACGCGTTTGCTCTTCGTGGATCCAGTTTTGAATGTAGACGAACTTACTGATGGATAATTTGATATTAGATTCACTGGACGGGATAGCCATATGCATAGTTGGTAGATGCGTGCTGGGAAGCCAGGCTTCAATGCGTTTTGGAATAGGTGTCCTGGAATTCCCCTTTGGGCCTGTCCGTATCAGTTCACTGGAGAAGGTCAGTTCGCGAGATGTAAGGGATAACCGTGTGGTATGTGATAGCATTGGCATGGTGGTATGGCCCAGTGGCATCCTTCTCAGCTTTGTTTCGTTTCTGACCTTTAAGGTGGTGGAGTAATAGTCCGACGTAGTCACTATCATTGTTTGTCCTAACCAAAAACTGACAAGATGTCGCTTGTGACCAAACCAATCGTGCCTCACCGTTGGAGCCTGAAGATTTGGGTGATGTCACCGCCTGTCTTATCTCCCAAGGACGCTGGTGACGCTGGTGGAGCAGCCCATGCTAGTTGTGCACGCCATGCCCATGTCGTTGGCTGGCCGGCCACATCAGCCCGCTGCTGCTGACCGTGGTGGAGACACCGCACTACGCGAGCCGGCCGGACTGCGGTGGCGACACACCGGTGGTCAGGCGGCTCAAGCAGCTGATAGCCGACTGCATGCCGAAGCATGGGACGGCACACGACGTGCGGTGCCGGGCGCTGATTGCCACCGACCCCGTCCTTACCTAGGCGCTGACGGCAACCAGCCTCGTCCCCGCGCGTCACTGATGGATTTTGTTGCCCGCATCCCGCATCCCGCACTGCTTCACGCGGTGGATCAGGCAGGGGATGGAAACGAACTGGGGCCGCGGCAATGTATCGTTGATGATTCTCTTCCTCCGTGAAGCGACGTTTTTACTGGCATTGACTGGCTGGCTAGCGGCGAAGATATGTGGCAGGGTCATTGTGCTGCGTTGCACCAAAT